TAATACAGCCCTAATTTAAACTGATCTTTTTTTTAATAAACAACATGTTATGTGTTAATGTCTTTGCTTCAGAGGTGCTTGTCAATGGATTTTGGGTCCTTCAAACAGAGCCAAGCTAGCTGTATTCCATTTTGGAGTCTTATTGCTATGCTAAGCTAAGCTGAGCTAAGTCCCCTGGTAGTGGCTTCATATTAATGACACAGACATTAAAGTGGCATCAATCTCTCTTTCTAAACTTGTGGCAGGAAAGTGAAAAAAGTACATTTCCCAAAATATCAAACCATTTTTTATTTTTCAAATAAACTCATGTCAGTGCATACTCAGTTTCCCTGCCGCGAAGTAGTGTACTGCACCGCCACTGTGTATTAGAGGGACTTGTTTCCCCTCGCCATTCATGTGGAAAAGGCTTGCACCACCAGCTACCCTTTCTTTTATTCATTGTACTGTAAATAACTCCACTTTATGAAAAGCAGCCTGTGTGACTCACGGATACCTCTCTAACCACAACCCATTATTATTTCATGGCCTTTGAAAGAAGGGTCTATAGCAGGCGCTCTCACACTTTAATGTCGGAGCTCCCTCTGATGTTGTGTAGTACACAGCGGCCCTTGTTGCACTCCGTATGCGATCCCTCACTTGAATTCACAAACACTTCCAAGTGCATAAATAGCACGGAAGACGAGTGCCTCGCGAGCTAGCTAATGCTCCGGAACGCCATTGCTGAGGAGATAACAGGAGCCTGCCATGGCTGATGCCTGGGACTGTCATTGGGGGGCGGGGGGGGGGGAAGAAGAGAAAGACAAGTGCGCCTTTTATGAAAAATGCTGTTGTTTTCTGACCCCTCATGGGACATCATATGGTAAGGAAAAAGAACATGCATCAGCGTTACGACTAAATGACCAGCGGACATGATTCAAAGGGTCCCACGATGTCCCTGAGCACCCTTTGGAACGTGTAGAAGGCTCTCGGCATACAGACGAGCTAATGGGCAACCCATTGGTCATGGTAGATTCAGTTTGAATCTCAATGAGGGTGTCAGTGTCTGGCTGCTCCATGACCGACAAGGTGTGGTAGGTCTGCTGGAGTTGATTTAGCCACACGGCCTGTCATAGCTTTTTAGCAGTCAACATCCATCAATCGAGAGGCTAAAAAGGCATGTTTTTTTCCCCCCCGTTTGAAGTGTCAAAAGGGAACTGCCGAGTTGAAGAATGATGGAAAATGCAAGACGTTTGATGAAATTTCACATCATTGTTTTCTCTACATGAAGCAGAAACTTGATGGATATAAGGTAATTTTTTTTTTTTAAACAAGCATGACAACAGATTTCAAAATGTGGTCTGCGTCAAAACCACTTTTCAAAACCAGAATCCTATCTGAGAAAGTCACTTCTTACAAAAGCCTTTCAGAAGGTATGCAGCAGCTATGCTTCCGTGTATACTGGGACATGATCGTGGTACATGAAAGCAGTGGGCTTGAATCATACAGAGGCTAAACCCATTACAGGTCCAGAGGGGTGGGCAATACAGTGCCTTCTTGTCCCGCTCTTCTAAACAAGACTCTAGGTGCTGCAAGTTGGAACAAAGCCTTGTAACATATACATTAAACTTTAATTGTTTTTTTTTTTCTCAAGCCTTTCCTTCACATCTCTGAAGTAGCAGCTCCTGAAACGTTAAAAGTGTAATGCCAGCTAGATTTTCATGGCTGTGCCTTTGTAGAATAAAAGATAAATGTGTAACAGTGGAGTGGGGGATAAAAAAAAAAAAAGAAGTCTCTGATGCTGGAGGTAGACAGTTGCTTTTCAAATTCCAAGTTTTGGTCCTTTATTTTATTCAGCAGTGAAATGCCATGAATACAGAAAATAATAACGTCTGTTACAATTCTCAATCATGACCTTCTAATGTCAGAGAACCTTTAAACGTATGGACACAGTACACAGTAATGAAAAGTATCAAAAAAAGGAGCTGAATCTCAAAAAGGAAATGAAACAAACAAAAAAAAGTTTTCACCAATTACATAAACATATGTTTGCTACAGTCCCAATTTACTGTATACATAGGGGGATCATATTCCCAATTATTAGAGAAGGATAGCAGTAGAAAGGATACATGACTCAACTGCCAGACATAATGCTTCATAAAGTATGCACAGAGGTACAAGCAATAAATACACACATTAGGTTAAGCCTTACAGCTACGCAAAGCAGATGCAGAAAAAGCAGGTTTGCTATTCTTAGCGAGCAATGAGAGAGAAACAGTAAAAATTCAGGTAAGTCAGAAAAGAAACATTGAGTTTTTTTTTTCCTCTTAGAAAAAAGTCTGGTAAATTTATGGGTCCACCAACATTTTTTTTTTTTACATAAGTATGCACAGTTATCAAAATACAGACAAAATCAACCCAGAAAATCCAGACAATCCTAAATTCTAGTGGAGGAGCAGATCGCAGTTCTGGAGGTCTTTCTGGTATTATGTGCAAGCAACTATTTTAGACATTTTTTTTTTTTACTTAATTTATACAAAACCCATGCAAATCTACAGGTAATATGCATTCTGTGGCTGACAGGTTTTATCCCTCCCAAAACAATATATCTGAGGTAATGCACTCCAATGCATTGTACGTACATTTAGGCCATCGTCCCGATGATTTTTATTATATTCTTTTTATTGGTTCTTGTTCCCAGTCCACCAAATGATTTTTAGACATGCATTTTTAAAACACAATATTCCCTTACAGGTAATCTATACATTATCATTCTACAGATGTTTGAGGACAACCTATTACAATGCAAATCTTTCCTTATCTTGACGCAGGGAATGTAAACGTTGGTTGGAGCCACGTCCTATGAGACAAGCGTAGTAAAGTGTAACAGCTCTTGTGGCGTTCTTATAACTCGTGCAATCTGTCGTAATTGTTCTGAATTTGTTGTGCAGAGGTAGAAGCTTTTCCAAAGCCTTTTTGGGTAAGTGGGAGAACCCTTTTTTTTTTTGTATTTCTGAAAGACGGCAGCGTCCTTTTTATTTGGTGTGGTAAGATTATTAAGAACGTCGTCTTCAAGTCATTCTGCTGACTCCAGCTAAGTATTGAAGGGATAAGCTTTGTTCCTGGGGCCAGTGCCCTCTTGACGTGGCAACTGCCGTGTGTGTGTGTTATGTGTGTGTACTTAACATGCTGTGTGTTTGTACAGTACTTCAAGTGTTTGTGTGTTACGCTCTTACAGCTGGTTCTTTTTGCTTGGCAAAAACACTTGAGAAACAATATATGCACAGTGTTTACACGTAGGTCAGTTGTTTTTTTTGTTTTTTTTTACAAAACCACTCCTTTAAAGTTAGCTCGGGGTCTGTGTGTCTGTTAACATGTAGCATGTATGCTAGCCTTCAACAGAGTGTGTGTGGTTGTTTTAGCATCTCTTTATCCCATACAAGAGGAGGCAGAATTTTGTGTAACTTTGGTTTACTGAAAACAGAAATGACCATTAAAGCAACAACACTTTTCTAGATGACATTAGCTGTGAAGGAAATGACGGGACGTAGTCTCCACGACAACTATTTCTCTTTAGTTTCTATAGATACCAGGTGTTTTTTTTTTTATAAAAAGCTGGCTACTTTTATAGAGTACATCCGTCTTGTATCTATATAGTTTCGAAGCTATGAACCACACGATGAGTATTTGATGACGAGTTAAAGCAAATATCACCTAGAGAAGGTTAACGTTTCACCTTCCATATCCTCTTCTGCAATGGCTATTATTGTTTGCTTCTCCATGGTGACCAAGCCACATCATTTCATACCAACTTGTAATCATGAATTATTTGGCTTCACTAGATATTTTTCATGTTTGGTTAGCGATGTTTTCAGTTTTTTCAACGTGGCTCAAGAAACAAAACCCGCCACAGAAATAAGACGTGACATTATTTTGAAAGTCCCACTTAGAACATTACATATTCACCAGGTAAGAAAATAAAGTCCCTTCAAAATAAAAGAAAGAAAAAAAAACGACTTCTGATGTGTAATGCATTAAAGAACAAATAGAAAGTAAAAATGAGTATTTCACAATAACACAATGTTTCTGCACTTCCATTGAATACACAAATGTTTTGTTTTGGTCATAATCCACTTTAACAGTTAGCTGCTCTCTACCAGTCAAATCACCAGCACAAAATGACTGCAGTTCAAATATCACATCACCTTTTTACCTACAGTACGTCTGGCAGAACAATCTCCAAAGTGGATGCTCTAAGAGTTATCAAATTACACATCAAAATCAGCATTTAATTCCCCCTTCTCTCTTAACTCATGATCATCTTTGTATAGGGCTAAATGAAACAATCCCAGAGGTTTTTTTTTTTTTTTTTTCGAAAGGTAGTTTGTGGAACAAAAGCTTCTCTTTGTTACTAGATTAAAGAGGCAGAAGACCAAGAGGAGTTTGGTGCCTTCTGTCTATAAGCTATTGGCCATTGCTAGTGTTGGCTTTGGTTTCTAGCTGTTGCCTGTGACTGTTTGCAGGTAGACAAAGCTTTCGAACGAGGAGGTAAAGGAGAACAGCAAGAGGGAAATTATGCAGAAATGCATTTGTTTTGTAAATGGTGCTTTACATGGACTTCTCTTTTTCCCAACTGAATTTCCAGTTATTTTCACTTTTTCATCACAGACAGATAATAGACTGGAAGCCAACTTTTTTTTTTTTTTTCTCTTTTTTTTTTGTTCTTTTTTTTTTTCAGGACAGCTGCAACGACAGTCTTGGTACCGCAGTTCTGTTTCTGGTGTGATTCAGGGAATGGCATTTACAGTTGGTGGTGTCTGAAAAAAAAATTAAAAATCATACTTTGGAAATTAAAGATGGAAAAAAAAAAAAGCTGAAATTAATATACTTGTTTTTATAATAGTAGCAACATACAGGCAGTGACACAAACTTCTGAGACTACTCCTGTGCAAATGAAAACAGAGCAACAACTTGAATTGAACCAGCAATTGTCTCTAGACGTCAACAACTACTGGGGGTGGGGTGAGGGGGGTGGGGGGTGGATTATTCACAAACATAAAACGTCTTCCTTTTTGGCAGTATATGAGGCCGCTAGCTTTCAACGGAACATGACTTGCTCATTTGTTTTAGGTTTTTTTTCCCCCATCCATGAGTCCATCATCCTTGTACTGTACGTGGCCACGCCATCCCTAAAGAAATAGGTCTCAGAGAGTTTTATTTTATTTTTGAATCAGACATCTCATGCCTGTCATGTTCGGGGGGGGCGGGAGGGGGCGGGGGGGTGGATCCCAAAGGGCTGCAACAAAGAGTTCCTTTGGACTGGTCTCCATCCAGATGCATGCTCAATAAATAGTCCCAGTGGTGAGAGAGACGAGAGAGAGAGAGAGAGAGAGAGAGAGAGATAGAGAGAGAGAGAGAGAGTCAGCTGTGGTTTTGCTTGGACTGTGGAGTGGTTTTTTTCTTTTTCTAGTCTTGCAGGAGGTCTGTGAGAGAGAAACAGTGTGGTGGGGCGGAGGGATACGTAGACCAAAAACGGTATCCTAGTCACTCCAGGTCCTCCGATAAGTTCCCTTCCTCCAGCTCCCGGTCGTCGTCCAGCTCCGGACTGTGATTGGCTGTCGTCACGAGTGACATCGGACAGTCGTCGTCGTCCATGTTGAGTGGCTCCTCCTTCACGTGAACGGATTGCCTGTGACACAATCACAGCGCAAGAAAAGTTAGACCTGTATGTGTTTTACGACTATCTCCTGCACTCTTTTCAACAGAGAACCCACACAATTTTAAATGTGCACTTATTGCTTATGATTTTGTACTTTCTGAAACATGTTTTCGTTGTTTACTTTGACTTTGAATTATTCATTGTATTGTTCTTAAATGCATTTCTTTGAACCTCTGGAAAAGCTTTTATCCTTTGTATTATTTACTCGTCTGTTTAATGCAGGTAAATCATTTTGTGGCTTAATTTTTTAAAAGTGCAAAATTAAATATAGTTATTATGACTCCTAAATAATGTATAAAGTAGAGAAAGGGTTCTGGCCTTTTCTTCTCTTGACTGTGCATTGAATACGAAGTGTGGCGTTCAGCTACCAGAAAAATATTTTGTTGTATCAAAAAAAAAAAAAAAAGAAACAGGCCATTACATGCCTTATCTAGCAGAGCAACAACCATGTTGTTTGCGAGACGCTAATTCGACATGATGCCTCACGTCTACTGTAAGTAAGCGCATGAAAATTGCATGAAAAAACACGGCCCCTGTAAGGCCGATAAGCTGTGATGTTCCAGACATGTTTGGCATTTAAAAGTTTACTGATGACACCAGGTTGAAATACATGAAAAAGGAAAAAAGCGGGGAGGAGGGGGGGGGGGGAAACAGGCCACATGATAAATAATGGAGAAATTCTCATCCCTGAGCCCCCTGGAGCAAAGGCAGAGGAGAGGCTTTTTTATCTAGTTAATAGAAAGCGCAGCCACTCGTTAATATGCAGGGGCTGTGCGTGTCGCTCCTCAAGAGGAAAAACCGGCAGCTAGGTTCTGCCATTAATCAACTTCAGCCCCGGCAGTTCGCTCGGACACCATGATACATGTTTTTAACTCTAAATGGATGAATATCTTTAGCCGCTGTCAATAAGTGCTGGGCAGGAAGCAGCCGTGGCGCTGGGAGCGGGACGTCTCTCCCTTCAGAACAACAGAGGAGTGGGCGGAAAGGGGGGGGGGAAGAAAGTGTTGGGCGACTAACAAGAATAATAATGCTGTCACACACAAACAAGGCATAACATGATCCGGGGGCCTGAGTCGGGGAGAGGGGTTTGTGCCACGATGATAAATCTGACAAAACCTAATTATTTCTGACACATCGGATGCATCAGAAAGTCCCCGTAGACTTTGAAAGAGGAGAGCAGGGGGGGAGAGAGAGAGAGAGAGAGGGAGACTTATCAAGTGGTAGTATGTTAGTACTCGTCTCGGAGACTCTCTCCTGGGCTGCCTTCATCACTGGAAGAGGAATTGGGGGGGGGGGGGGGGGGTGGGGTGGCTTTGAATTTGAAAAGAATTTGAAAAGGTACAGATGACTTGAATATTCAGAGCCAAATACTGTAAATTAATATTCTGATGTGGTGGGATGGAGAGAAGAGGCTGATCTAAGCAGGATGAATGTTTGTGGCCCTCAGATGCATGCAGGCAGCGAGAGGAGGAAGGAAACCAGCTGGGTCAGAGGTCACAGACACAGAAAAACACTCATGTTCTCTCTTCTTACAGGAACATCCAGATTAGTGTCTATGAGGACGCAAAGTTAAGTCTGTATTTTTAAGTAAAATCACACCATACAGACTAGTTTCATTAAATCTAACAGATGTTTTTTGAGCTTCCCTCTAACGCTTCAATCAGGTTTTAAAAAAAAAAAAAAAAAATGTTTTTTATTATCTGTTCATACACAAGCCTCCATTTAAAGGATCCTATGAAGTGTACAACAAAAAAATTACTATGGATCATCTACCAAAGGCCTCCTCTGGTCTTGCTCTTCATTGTCTGTGTGTGTGTGTGTGTGTGTTGTGTGTGTGTGTGTGTGTGTGTGTGTGTGTGTGTGTGTGTGTGTGTGTGTGTGTGGGGCTTTGAAGACAAACATGCAGCTCCACATTCACAGGCTGCAGCTTTCTGACACTTGATTAAAAATATGTGGATGAACCTTTTAATGCTTAATGGCTAGCTGCCATTATGGAGTCACTCAGGAGTAAACACAGGACTTTGTGGTGTAAGAAAATACTCACACACATTCAAGCACGCGTGTGTGTGTGAGTGATTCTGAAGATGCCTGCTCTCACATCAATTTGAGATTAGCACCAGCAATCATGCAGAGGTATTTCAGGGATGCAAATAAGGTCATTAGTCCACCCGTATCCGCGTATGTAGGGTGGGGGTTGGGGGGGGGGGGGGGGGTGAGGTGCAGGCATCAAACACACTCATAACACCACACTATGATTCATTAAGGAGTGACAAAGAAGGGTGGTCACCAAACATGTGACACTGAAATGGAACATTTTGAGTTTATTATTTTTTCTGATCCTTTTTTTGGGAAACTGCAATGAATATTTAACTCTGCTCATCTTCATTTTGTGCAAAGTTTCTAATCTGCTTGCGTTGGAAAACCTAATTTTTACAGTTTCAGTTTTGGTATTCTTTTAAGCATAGCCCTGAGGGTGTACATGAGCATATTGCACATGCATTCTCACACACACACATACACACACACACACACACATACACACACACAAGGCATGGCCTGGGGCAATCTGGTTTGCGGTTAAGCAGTTAGCATTAACCTCTAGACGTTGTGGGGAAGGAGGGGGTCGGTCTAATTGTTGGATCGACTTGTTTTCTGCTGATGGGGTCCTCTCCTGAGAAAGGCCTTCAAGGTGATGTGCTATTTAGTTTAGTGCTACAAGCCACTCCATTATTTAAACAACACGCTGGAAAAGCCAGTCGTGAAAAACACATTTCTTCCATTTTGAGGTTGTCGTCAGGGGTGGGGGGTGTTGTAAAGGCAGGCGGGGATGGATGAATGCATCTCATCCTCCTGTGTCAGGGTGGCGTGGCCAGAGAGAGAAGAAAGAAAGCAAAAAAAAAACAAGATGAAAAGTCCATGCTGTCCGGTTACTAAAAGTTAAATGAGCTGGGGGAGTGGGAACACTGGGATTCTGTCTCGAGCTGGGCAGATTTTGCTTCACTTAACACCCCATTTCAGAGCGGGGGTAAACACGTCCAGATAGATTAATGTATGGAGGGCTGGTAGTGCTAACCAAACACTTTTCTTCTCACAGAAAAAGGGGCAGAGTGCATCCTTTATCCATTACAGACGTGGTAAGCTAATGTCGCCTGATACTGCGCCACAAGATTTGATGGACAGCAGATGAGAATGTGCGATTTCCTGTGTGTCCTGTGTGTGCATGTGTGATGTCCCAGACATTCCTGAAACTCGCACATCAATTTTTCAAAAACACTCTCTTTCTCTCTGAGTTCCATTAAAAACAGAGACGAGGAAGGGAGAGTTTTTTGGGGGGTAATTAATGCTACACTTGCTTAATATTAATCGGGCAAAGTCTTACATAAAAAATAGCAGCTAAACCCCCACAATGCAGACAGACAGTTGTGCCATTAAAAGGTGAATGTGTAAAAGAGACTATTTATAGAACCGTGACTATCTGTTATCAAAATGTCCGGCTCACCTCAGAGAGAGAGAAAGAGCGAGAGAGAGAGAGAGAGAGAGAGAGAGAGAGAGAGAGAGAGAGAGAGAGAGAGAGAGAGAGAGAGAGAGAGAGAGAGCGAGAGAAGTGTGCTTATGATAGGATACGCGCTGGAAAGTGAACCTTGCCCTCGGGTCATGGCAAACTGAAGAACATACTGGTACTGTGGGTTAAATATCAGGCAATTAAACTAACAAAGGGCACAAGAACAGGGAGTGAATTCAGTGTAAAAGTGGAAGGGGGGGGGCTGAACATGTGCTCACATTCTCAGATAAGAGCTCATAAAAATGTGAGATGTGCGAGTCTACGTGTGACACAATTATCTCTCAAATGGAGTAGTGAGAGCACAAGGGATTCTGGGTAAAAGGATAATGAGTTCACTTTGTTGGGGGTCAGTTGACTCTTCGGACGTGGGGGGTGTAGAGTCTGTGAGGTTTCAGTTAGGAGTCATTGAGCAACATTTTAGAGGTACTTTTGGCTTTTTATTTATGTTTACCAATAATCAAATCCTGATTTTTTTTTTTCATTTCCAAGTTCCATTTTATAGAAGTGGATCTGTTTTAATTACCTTTACACGTAAAATAAGTGTAAAGAAGAACAGTATATGTGTGATCTTGCAATGAGGAAAATACAGACGTTTACATATATCAACCGTCTGTGATGACTCACATGTGTACTGGTGGAGAGTATCCGGGGCTGCTGTGTCCGTTGGTGTCCAGGTGGTCCAGCGAGCCGTTCAGCTCCTCGTGGGCCGACTGCAACAGGTTGGGGGGGCTTCCGCTGAGCGCACCTGGGGGGCTGCCACCCAGCAGTCCATGTGGACTCCCGCCCAACAATCCATGTGGACTTCCGCCCATCAGGCAGGACGGGTCTCCGCCCAGGAGGCCGTGGCAGCTGCCTCCCATCGGGCCCGTGGAGCCGCTGTTCATGAGGCCGGGGGTTCCGAGCAGAGGCAGGGAGGTCTCAGCCAGGGCAGCCTGCAGGAACGATGGAAAGATGGAAGAAATCTTACGGATTAGCCTTAACTTTCATGTCAAGATCAAGAAAAAAAAGTGCAGATTGTACAAGAAGTAGGCAGGTATGGTGTATTCAGGGTGAAGCATAAAGAGCGAAACAAGATGAAAAAGTGACAGGTGAGACAGTGTAATTATGAAAAAAACAGTTGTCCAATGCTAAACTTTTTCATTCTGCAGGCTATTTTTCCCCCTGTGACACCTTGCTGACAACCACTTCCCCCATGCTGCCATTCACATGCCCTTGTGTCACAGCTATTAAAAAAAAAGGCCAAAAACTTTACCTCAAAATAATAAAAAAAGAACTCCTGACACTTGCGCCTGCTGCGCATTAAAGTTATATACAGTGATTAAATTTTTAAAGTTTTTGCCATGAGCACCTCGCCGGCGTTCACTATGAAGCCAAATCATTTATGACAGCTTAGATAAATATTAATGCACATGCCCTTGCATTTGCACATGCCGCCATCAATCTAGGTATGCAGCCAGAGCTGAAAGAGAGGGGAGAAGAAGGAAAAGGAGGAGGGAGGGTCGCTTCCTGATTCAACCACAGGGTGGCCTTGTGAGTCTGACGAGTACAGGAAAGAGAAGGAGGAAGAAAGTGAGAGAGGAAAAGTGTGAGAAAAGAAGCCAAGAGGAAAAAAAAAAAAACTTGCTCGCTCTTATGCATGTGAGCACTTATGTGGGGCCCTATTGTTCACAGAAACCACGCTCATTCTGTCACTCAATTGGTCAATCAGTCAGGCAGGCGTCCTGCCTGTCAGTCAAAAACACGCAGGCAGTCGGTGAGTCAGACGCTCTTTGAGGCCGCTGGTTTGTACCTGTAAGCTGGCGTTTAGTGCAGTTCCATAGCCGAGACTGGAGGGCAGGTTCTTGACAAGTGATGGGCTCCTGAAAGCATCATAAAGACACAATTAATAAAAGAAATCCACAGGTACCTTTTTTACAGCCTCAACAAACAAAAACAGAGGACAAAAACGACTACGCATTTTCTATGATCCTCTGGATGTCATTGACCTTCAGATGTAAATCAAATAAAGGGGAGGTGTCAGGCGTCTTACCCTGTGATCTTCTGCGACCTGCGTTTCTGGTACTCCATCTCGTCCACCGTCCACACCGCCCCCTTCACGTTCTCCACGCGGACAAAGCACTTGTGCAGACTGAGGTTGTGACGCACGGCATTCTGCGGAGACATTGGCACGCAGGTAAGAGGGGTGAGGTACAAATGAGTCATATTCATTCATTAACAATCCACATCCACAAAAAGAAGGCTTGGAAATAGATTTTTTTTTTCTTCTTGCATTTTGAAGAAATTCTTAACATTCACGCACCATTGATTTAATTAGTAAAAATTGAGTGAGAGCGAATGCTCTTACAAGTCCTGCACACAGTACATATCAATCAGGGTAAGTAGGCTAAAAGGAGGTAATCAGCATAGCGAATGGCTTATGGTGGTGACAGAAGTGGTAATGCCAGCCTTGATAATGGTGATGTCAGTAACCCTTTCTGTGCCGGAAAAGCATTCCTCTTAATGGACACGTCGCTTTAAAGATGACAGTATTTCAAGAAGAAAGACAGTCATCAGGAGGCCCTTGTGTCAGCGCGTGTGTGTCCGTGCAAGACGAAGGAAGATTAAGGTGAAGTGTGTTTGACATCTATACGTCCAAATATTCTCTGCAGTGTTGAAAAATCACTTGCAAGATTAAATTATCTCTCTGAAATCTAATCCAAACTATGTAATTCAAAAAAGGTGTTTTCTATTAATTACAAAATAGAATCAGCCTATAAATAGAAGCTCTCTTTTATTAATAAAGCCAGATGACCATAATTAAAACATGCATCAGACTCTACAAATAATAACCTTGGCTTTAATATCCCTGCCCCTCATATTTCTCATCTCTCTGTGCTCGCTGTGTGTACTGCTCTTTCTCCAAAGAAAAAGGGATTCAGAAAAAAAAAAAAACTCATAAGCAGATCTCGCATCTGACCTGAAAATCCCAGGATTTGATTGATCTTAATGCCCATGGCTCTGAATATGATAATTTTAATATTAATGAGCAAATGAGCAGTTTTATTATGCATGCTATATAGTTAGAACTAATAAGCTGCTGGGTGAGAGAGAAAGAGAGAGAGAGAGAGAGAGAGAGAGGGGAAAGAGGGGTTGGGAAGGGCAGGGGGGGTAGATCTTTCTTTTGAGCTGATGAGACCTAGCTGAGATATTAAACTACCTTTCATTTCTTTATTTTTTTCTTTTTTTTTAAAAACAAATTCTCTCCATTAATCAAATGACAAGCCCACCGCTGATCATCCTGTTAATACTTACAAAGGGAAAATGGGGGTGGGAGGAAGATGTAAATAGATCACCTTGGTTACTGTGCGGGGTGGGACACACGCAGACAAGGTGTTTCTAATGTCACTGTGGTATCATCTCTACTGTATGAGCAGATACTAAGGCACTGTTTTCAGGAAGGAGGTTTGAAAAAAGGCATGGATGCATGTGTTTTGGATGTTTGTGCTTGAAATGTAACAGCCACAAAAACCTCTGTCATAACATTATTACACAGCAAAACATGACTCTGTACTGTACCGAACAAACTGGAAAAGGGCACCAATCTTTTTCGCATGCCCTTCTGAATTGGTGATCACACGCCCATGTGCTCATTTGCATCCCAAATCCAAATTAATTCACTTTGCTAAATCTAGTGCTTTCGCCATGTCTTGCATGCTGATGAGCGGCTGGTTCCAGTTTTCCCTCCAGTCCTCTGAGCAGCCACAAAGGCTAACGGCGGCTAACGAATGACACGCAGGGGCCGAGGGATAAAAAAAAAAAAAAACGGGCGAAGACACCGGTGCTCAATGAGGCTTTCTTTATCAGCAGGCAGACACACTTCTGGGTTAAAACATGTGCTGCAGGAAAGACATTTTTTAGCATCTTTGTGCGCGCCGACAGGACAATAAAGTTGTCGGGACAGATTTACAAATGGGCCCTTTTGTGTGGGTAAATAAAGAGTGCTCCCCTCCATGACAGGCCAATTCTCACTTTCCTCCCTGCTTTAGTTCCACATTAATACACCCTTAACCCCTCTGTTTGATACAGTTTATGTTTTTTTTAGTGTGCGCACGTAAGATCTTGTGTGCATGCATTTTTGGCCTCCACCCTTCACACCACTGAGAGCTGGTTAACAGGCAAACAGCCATCTTTCTTCCTAATTAACCAATGATATGCGAGGGAAGGTGGTTGCAGGAGTAGGAGGTGGGGTGTCTCTCTTAACAAAAGGTGCTGATGATGGAGTGGCTGCTGTATAATTAGTGCGTCAGAGCCCTCTCCTCTCCGCACCAAGCCTCTGCTATTAATTGCACCACATTAGAAAACGATATCTGAGGCAGAATAATTCTTTGGGCTGTCATTTCCAAACAGAAAAGGCAGAGCGGCGGAAAAAATAAATAAGAGACAGAATGAGCTCTATTCAGGGAAACTAAGGCGAGGCGGCTACTGTAAGACGAGTGAAAGGGCACAGCGGGGTGCAAGTGGGTGAGGGGTTCATCAAGGTTACCTTCCAAGTTGCAGCGTTGCGTCTGAAGTAGGCGAACGTGCGTGTGAACCAGCTGTAGATTTCATTAAGCGTTAACTGCATGTCGGCAGAGTCCATGATAGCCTGAAATGAGATGACATCAAATAATGGTTTACTAACGAGACCACGTAACTGAAACACACACACACACACACACACCAACGGATTGAGAGAGAGAGAGAGAGAGAGCGAGAGAGAGAGAGAGAGAGAGAGAGAGAGAGAGCAGCCATGATTCATGCAGCAATTAATTTTAATCTAATCAGGCAAAGTTAATTTATTTCCCACTCACCTGTCTTATGAGGGTTGCATAAGTAAATGGCGGTCTGACATCTGCGTTCTTATAAAACTCGTAGTTTGGGGCGATCTCTGGAAAAATAAATACTGTGTCACCACCTGAAATAATTGGTAAATTTTATTCCTTTAGGTATTGAATTCACTCAAGGTTTCATCAAATTAAAAGGAGGGAGGGAGACAAGGGTGGGGGGGGGAGAGAGAGAGAGAGGGTGGAGTAAGGGGGGGGAGGGGGTTAGTGGGGGCACATCAAATCAGCATTTTCCATGTCTAACAAAATGCATTTTTAATTAATCTCTCTCGTGAGAGATCTTAAACACTAATACATCCATAAAATGAGATCCGTGTAGTTAGTTAGGCTGAAGTTGAATAATTTATGTGTCTTCACACTAAACACACACCGAGTAAATATAAACATCAAAGACAGAACGTTTAAAATGCAAGGCTTAACACATGGAATGTCTAAATGTAATAAATATTGTATTTTTTTCTTACTATTATTTGAACTTAATTATCATTCATGTAATATTTATGCACAGAGGAAGTTCTTGTCTATTTACATATAGAGTGATTAAACACTGGCCCGCCTTTATAAAGCCACTAGACATTTTACATGGGCAAGACCAACAAGCCTGTGTGTGTGTTTATGTCAGTCTGTATGTATTCATTGTGTCTTTGTGTGTGCGTGTGTGTGTGTGTGTGCATGTCTTCATGTGTTAAAAAAGAAAGAGAACACCATTATAAATACTGATAATAATGCGATATGCACACACAGGGTGTAGGCCTAACATGTACTTTCCAATTTCAACATCATGATGTCATTAAATTTGAATATAAATTCAGTATAAAGTGGAATTAATGTGTGATAATGTCCTTAAAGTGCAACGTTTTGTTGTTGCTTTTAGTTTGTTTTCACATGTCTTCAAACATATTGACATATTTGCCTGATATTAAATTGTCCAGCTGGACATTTTTGTGTTCATTGTGTGTCTGTGACGTGCAGCGCTGAGTAGTTGGTCCTACCTGACGACAGGGGCATGGAGTATTTGTCCGAGTGGCGTCTGCGCATGGCTCCCATGCTGGGGACGTTGGCTCCTCCCAGTACTGACGGCACCTGGGGCATGGCGGCCATTGGTGTGATGGGCGCTGTGGGCGTGGTGGGTGTCTGAGGTAAGTTGGGGGGCGATGCTGAGGGCAAGTTCTTGGACATGGTGACACTGGACACCAAGTTAAGCTGGTGAGGAGGGAAAAAGAGAGAGAGAGAGAGAGAGAGAGAGAGAGAGAGAGAGAGAGGAAGGCATTATTTTGTGGTTCCTCTGACAGAGCCGAGTGCCTGCTCTCCTCCTCTCTAACACAGCTGTGTTTCCACTAACAAGGCTCGTGGAGAGGAGCCAGCCCATCTCCACTAATTACAACCACCAAATTGTATCATAAGAATTCTAATTAGAGCACGCTGTTCAAGATTATCCAACGATCAGCCTCCGTGTTATCCCAGCCCCATCTATCTTTATCTCTCTATTTATCACTCCCTCCCTCTCTCCTACACTCCCTCCCTCATGCTCGCCCCCCTCTATACAACCACCCATAATCCTTTCAGACTAAAGCAACTGGCTGGTAAACCCTTGTTTGCTGTAGTTGTGAAATGTTCAACATGAGTTATCTGATCCTGCTCCAGAACCCCAACCCTACTCACGACATTATGTACCATTGTGTGTGACTGAAGTGCTACAACAGGGACCTAGTTATAGAGGATATTGGACTTCAGCCATAAATCTTGCTGTTTGATGAAGATTCGTAGTAAGGGTGTAAAAATCCTATTGGATAAACCGAGCTGATTTACCATTTAAGACTAATCCGGATCATGGGTAAATACCAGGTCATAGCTTCAAACAAAAAAAAAAAAATCTTACAAACTGTGATCAAATGTAAGTCATAGAATCAGTTTTGTTGTTCAGTCATTATATTCATTCTTACTCTCGAGTCATGTTCAAGTCCTTTTGTCATTCAGGAGAACTTGTAGCTGAGAAATAAAGATGTAAATATTTGAGAATATGTTTTTGAAACTTGGTTTCTGTCTTTGGCCAAGCAGGCTTTTTGAGTAATTAAGTTAATCTTGTAAATTGAAACTAAAGTGGACTAAAGTAAAACACACGGGTCCCCATTTCACACCAAAGACCACACCTCATGAGTAGCTTTAACAAACGGGATTTGGATAAGAGAATCTTTTTGGACCCTTCAAGCCCTAAACTCCTGGAAAACTACCTCAGTGTCAAAGGGTTATGAGAGACCAGTTAGTATTTATCAATGTGATCTTAACTGCTCTACATGGAGAGTATTATTTTGTTGCCATTAAAATCCTTGTTTAATATATATTGTTTGAGACTGTGGTCTGATTAACATCACCACACAGCTAAAAGTTCTGATCGTTAAAGTAGATTTTTCAGACCTAATCCAATGAGACTTCCATTGCACGAGGAAGTAAAACAAGTCCAAGTTTGTGTTCTTTCCACAGTAAGATTGAAAAGACACTTAAAGGCGAGGGGTGGGGGGAGACTGTATAGATGGTAATTGTGACACATTCTCATTCATTCTTTGTCTGCGCCACTCCTTCAACATGATGGACCAGAGAGCGTTCATCACCTCTGGCTCGCTAATCGTCCGGCTTTTCCACCACTTTCTGCGTCCGCTCCCCAAATCTCATGTGAGTGACTCTAACCGACTGGAAAATTCCTAACTGACCTTTTAGTCTCTGCGCTAATTTAGCCGGAATGGTAATGACATCGTTACATATTCAAACCAAATTGCCTTAATTGTGAGTCCACAAGTGGAATGCATGGGTTTGCGAGAGTTTTGAATTAAAAGGGACTTGAAAGATGGAAGGGAATGTGGGGCCGAAGGCGCTGAGAGATGGAGGAGCGCCGCTGAGGAGAAGGTATCAGCGGTCATTTGTGGCATGTGTTGATAAATAGGATAAAATGTCAAGTTTGTGAGAGTCTGCTGGATGTAAGGGGGGGGGGGGGGGGTTTCAGATAATTATGTGCCCACTTAGCTGTAATGAGCTGCTACAGTGATGGGTTGGGACCAGGTCTAGTTGCTTATACAGACCTCTGCTGCTGACTACAGAGGATGTAGCAGGGCCCCATGAGGTTTATCATGCATCTGTGTTCAAATCAGTTTTGTTTACTCTTTGCAAGTTTACTTCTGTTTCTCATTATTTTTTTACACTCACATCTCTTATTTAACCCTTTTCCACTAAAATCCATAGATTGATTAACTTCCTGACTAGCAGTGGAGTTCATACAGTTTCTGTGAGCGTGAGTCCAATCCAGACACTGACCTGTGAAATACCAACTCCATTTTCTTTGAACGGTAAATTAACAAACATTCAACATAATCTCCACATGAAAAGACCTCAATATGTGCAAACTCAATTCAAAAGACATGCCTTCATGTGTGTGCAAATGCATATCTTTTATGTCGAAACATAATTCCCAGTTCTTTTTGCCGCCTCTTCACCGGCGAGACACAGCAACAAGCGTGACATGTTTGCAGGCATGCAATCCCATTTTTCACAAAACTGAATTGATTACAGTCAAACGAATGGAGGAGAGAGAGAGAGAGAGAGAGAGAGAGAGAGAGAGCATTTTGTCACCTCTTGTTCATCCGAATACACACTCAAGGTTAGGAGAGAGAGAGAGAGAGAAAAAAAGAGAGAGAGAGAGAGAGAGAGAGAGATCTTATGATGCAGAACTTGCAGCTTTGCAAACTTTGATTCCCATCCATCCATGGCATGGCCAAAAGGTAGCATTTAATGAAGTGTGATTCAGGGAATAAATGTGGTGCTGTTGGAGACAGTGCACCGGTGTCTTGTATTTTGTCTTTGGTTGTTTGAGGGTTGCACTAATGAAAAAAACAGGAGTCATCTCCAGCCTTGATAAGCTAACACAGACTTAAAACATTTATCAAGCACCTCCATTTCTTCTGTTCCTGTACTCTACTGGGTGTCAATCCACAAAACACCTCTTTTTTTGGTTGTTCTATCTGATCACTTTTACACAGGATGCACACACATGCACGTTAGTCCCTCGAAACAAATCTTCTTCCTAACTCCCCTTAAAAAAAAATTTAAATGTGGGGAGCCTAAAAAACTGAGGATTTAACTGTTCGTTTAAGGATTCTGTTTGAATTGCCCCCACCATCAAATGCAATTAGCTGCTCTTTCATGTGTGCTTTATGTAATGCAATACTTCATTAGCATCATTCATTCATATTCAGACGTGGATTATAGGCTGCAAACTCTTTATTGGACGAGTTTGAACCAAGCTGCTGGAGTTTTGAAGATTAAAAAAAAAGGCGCTAAAAGAGAAACAGAGAGAGAGAGAGAGAGAGAGAGAGAGAGAGAGAGAGAGAGAGAGAGAGAGAGAGAGTGACTGAATACTAAAAGGGAGTTTGATTCCTGATGGAATTACAGGATAATTATGCTATCTGGTGATTATCTACATTCAATGATGAGAGGTGATGAGGGAAATTATTCTATTGAAAGTAGGCACTTGCTAAGCAGCAGCAACACGCCAACAATGTTTTGCTCCTAAATATTTCAAAACGCCTGAAACTGTCAGGGAATAATATTTGCAAAAATGCATCACCTTCATCTTAAATTCCAAAAGCTGTTTGGCGAAACACTTTTGTAATCATCATCCATCTTAGAGTCAAATGCAAGAGAAACAAAATGTGGAATGGCATCATTTTTCTTCTTCAATGACCCCCTTTCTCAATTCTCTGATCTTTTTTTCTCTCTAACCAATTTCAGCAGCATTGTGGGTATTTATGTCAACATCACGCAGTCCGCAACCCTCAGCTGTAATTTTCAGGTGTTTACTGTTAAAATGACATATCTTCTCCTCTCTCGTTCCACTTTGGAGTGCTGCTGCAGCCACTGAGCCAAACAGTCTTCAGCATCCAACAGGTTGTTTTGGCCATTATATCCATCACAAAGAAATGACCCGGCGTTTTAGCCGAGGACTCCACCGCTCTGCCATCTAATACACTTCCAAACTCTATTGTCCTCTTTCAGAAAGATGTAACTCGGTATAATCCCCCCTTACCCCTCTCTCTTTCATCTTCTGTCACTCATTCACACACAACTGCCTGGTGGTTAAACTGTTCATTTTCTGAGTGCCGGAGAGTCATTCAGAGGCAGGATTGTTTACGCTAGCCAGAGCAATATGCACTCACTGGTTTGGGAGATGACTTGGGTTCCGAGGGCCGCATGTGCAAGTGGGTCATCATCGCCTGAAGACGCTCACGTTCTTTAGAAAGCTGTTAAGAGAGAAGAAGAAGAAGAGAGTGCGTTAGAGTAGATTAGAGTGGAAGAGAGGAGAAGAGACAAGAAGAGAAGATGGAAAAAAAGAAGGAGAGATTGAAGAATATGAGACATAAGATTGTTGGTAAAAAAAAAAAAAAGGACAGAAAGAGAAGGTTTGATAAGAATCAAACAGCTGCTCTGGGGATGTAAGGAGAATATGAGAGGCGAGGGGGAGCAAAGGGGAGAGGGGTGCAGACAGGTCAGGCTAAACAAATAGCATTTCATCTTTTTGTCAATAGAAAAATTTAGGTCAGCAAAGGCTCTGACAGTAACAAGCTAGTCGGGCCATAAATTAGGCGGTCCTGGGTGTCTGCTTAAAGTCCTGTGGACACTGTTAGGGGGATGGAGCGCAGCCAGCAGCTGCTGAGAGGTGAAGGGGTCTTCCAAACAGGGTGCCAGGTGGCCCCGCCTCCCCAGTCCAGTTAGTGGCCCTAGCCATCGCCTATCATCAATCTAATTCACAGGGAGTGACAGGGACCAGACTGTGTGAAAGACTCAACACCCCCTCGTCTCCTCTCACCCTTAATATACACACACACACGGCGCAAACACACAGATATAGACAAGCAAGTAAAGTGGCCATGCACACACACACACACACACACACACACATAAATAGACAGAGCTGGGCCTCATTACTAGTGGAGGATCTCTTGGAGAGAAATGGAAGAAGAGAGGGATGGTGGGAGTAAGGAATGAAAGAAACAGGAGAAAAAAAAAAGGAGAGATGGGATGGACAACACAAGTGTACAGCTGTAATTGGTCACACTGTAAAGCTCAAGCTTCAATAGTTTTGTATTACAATAAAAAACAAAGCACATAATGAACTCAAACTGAATAAATAACATTTCCCTTTTTCGGTTGTTTTTTGTGCCCGCAGATAAACAATTAAATCTTACATATTTATGAGAACTGAAAAGAAGAGGTGCTGGAGGAAATTTTTGGGATCAGCACTCTTATAGACGGCAAGAAAAGAGGAAGAGAGCACAAATTATAGTCTGATGTCTAAATAAGACACCTTTGCGCTGATATTTGTGATACTGATCTAATTTAATAACAATAAGAGAATAAACAGAGAAACTCTGCCTCACAATCAACTGCTCTGCAAAAAGCCTGAAGGTCGGATTTTAAGTGTCAGACTTCACGTTTGCAGCTGGTACTTAGTTTGAGCCTACTTTAAAACATACATATCTATTTGTTTCCAAAAGGACGAGGAGCGCTTGTCTGCCAGTGCTGAGTAATAATGTCGCTCAATCAGCGCTCTCATTATCTAGCCAGCATGACTTCTTAATAAGGTCACGCTCCACCTACTGAAAATAGTTCCCTCCTTTTGAGCTTTCTTCAGGTGCAAAGTGCAGTTAATTAACACAGCAGACCGAGAGAGATGCGCTCGCTATTAATTGGAAAGAAAAAGAGGAGGGAGCAAGAAAAAAAAAAAGAAAAAAGAAAAAAAAAAGGAAGCAATAGAGAAAATAAAGCACACGCTTAATTCAATTAAAACAGCCATAATGGCTTTCGTTGTAAGGCCCGAGGATTCCTTTGTTTAGTGGCTTTGTTGAATTCTGCAGGTCCTGCTTGTCAGGAAGTACTAAGCGGACCACAATATGGCCTTTCCGTCGTTCACACAACTTTCAGAAAATAAAGTTCTGACTTCATGATTAGGGACTTAAAGGAAGAATGACTTCACTGACAATGGGAGGAATTTAACAATACATGTAGCGTCGTTCCAACTCTGCTGGGACAGGTGTTTCAGCTCTTGTAAAGAAGAAACTTACTTGTATTTCCAGCTGCTGTACCACTTGCATTTGGACTCTACACTGGGCTGTGCTCCGGTCATCGAGGGCGTGTTCATTGTTTAGGTGCCTGGAGGAGAGAGAGAGAGAGAGAGAGAGAGAGAGAGAGAGGGAGATGTTACACACCAACTTTAAAAATCTAAGATGACTCATTTTTAGCATGATCAAAAATTGGTGAAGAATGACACAATGAGAGTATCATCTTCACCACTGTTTTGTGTTAATGATGATATTTCTATGGGGGGGAACAATCATCTATAGGAACCTTTGTTCTTCTGTGAAATGAGGTAATTAGAAGTAACATGTTGGTGTGCGCTGCCGTGTTTTACATCACAATGGGCCTGCGTCAGTTTCGATGGCTAACTTCAGTGCCACCCCACGCTCTGCTTTCTGCAGAGAATAAAAGATGCTAGCCCAGCAGAACGGCTTTGTCTCCTTCGTTTACCGAAAACAATACGCACAATTTAACACCGGCAACATTTGACACACAAAAGCAGCTCCTCATCTAAAGGTTGCATTATCCAGGCGGCAGACGTATTAAATGTATCTTGTGTGTTCGCCTCATTAGAAGAAAAAGGAAAGCCAGACAGCCATAACAGTCAATGAGGGTTTTTTGATTGGATTTTGTCTCTTGGACACAAAAGAGCCTCACCATTAAGATAGACCTTTATTCCTGATATAGCGCACATGCACACATGAGAAATATGGGACAGAAAAAGGGTTTTTTAAGTGTTGTGATGCTGGGTAATGAGCCTCTATCTAAATGATCATTGGTGACAAACTCACAAAGCAAGCTTTGAGGAGGCATGCTTATGAAATGCCAGAGCTGCCACTTTATCTGCAGTAATTATAGGTTAGCTTGCAGACCCCTCAATGATCATTTACAGTGCTGCCTCCAGTGCATTAGAGGGAGTGCAAAATCTCTCTCTCTCTCTTTTACTTTCACTTATCTAAGAACACACACGATTGCTTACATTGCACAAACACTGAGTGGCGCACACACACACTCACTCATACCACATATTGTCTTCCAAACCCCTCACTTCCTGTTTATCTGCGATGTGCAAAACAAGAACTCACTGAGCCGCCTTCTCTCTGCCTGTCAATCAAAAGCTGAATGGAACATTCGTAATCACAACACCTTTCAACGACTCTGCACACATTTTAGAACCGTCTCATCGCTGCTTATACTGTTGTAACCATTTAATGCTCAAAATCCTAAATCGAGAATGAGGTAGCGTTAAAATAAGGAGGAGGAGGAGGATTGGGATGGATGAGGGGAGGGACGTACTGGTGGATTTCTCCAGCCCTGTGCCTAATTGCTGTTTCAGAATGCGCATGCAAAAAAAGGGGGCATTACATTAATCATTTAATCACGTCCCTTGCAGGATGAGGGAACTAATGTTGCAAATACCCTTTTCATTTCACTGCCCATAATGCTATCTTATGCACTTGATGTATGGCGTGTGTCATGAATTACAGCTGCTTCAAAAGCATGGAGCGGGCTGCTCGCTGTCCCTGAAGATACCTCATTACTAAAAAAAAAAAAAAAAAAAAAAAAAAAAAAAGAGAGAGGGAGGGAGGGGGTGAAATCTTTATTAAGTTTGCCTCTCATTTGTTTGGTTTCATTTTTCAATGTGTATCGGAGACTTTGAGTCTGTTATTTTCCTCCACACTCACTCACCTTCCACTGCTGGCCAGTTAGCGAGGCGATTACAGGCAGATTACTACATGCGTTTATGAAATATTCAAATGGCAGCATGTCCTACTGTGCATTAATAATGCCATACAAAGACAAAAAAGAAAACGAGGAGGCGAGGAGGGGGGGGGACACACACACATGGGCAGACGGAAAACAATAATGAAAGAACACCTTATTTACAGAGATGTGTGCAAAAAAAAGTACTCTGTGTTCCTCTCCTCTCTGAGCTACAAACCATCTTCTCTAATTACATTAAATCCCCTTTCACTCTTATCTCTTGTTTCATCTCTTTCCAAGCCCTTCTGTCCTGTATAATTCTTCGCTGCTCATTTGAAAATTGTCATTACACAGCCGCTCTGATCCTTGCTTCCCTTTGGTTGCCTCTAATCATAAACAAATCTAAATCATTTGTAGGTTGAAAACGTAAGAAGTAAATTAGTTTGAGGAAATCAAAAAAAAAAAAACAAGACAGAGAGAGACATCTAAACTGTAGCATCATGGCGTAATCTTTTAAACCTCGCTGTGACTGTTTATGTTTACTGTTTATCTCTGCCTAGAAGTGGGGATTACTCATATTGTGAAGGCGCTTTTGACAACAGTGCATAAAGGATGGAGATTGAGATAGAAGAAATATAACAAAGGTAGAGAAATCAAAGCAAATAAAAAGTAGAGAGACTGAAGAGGACAAGGGAAGGCGGGGGGGGGGGGCGCATGGATGTTTTTTTGTACTTTCTTTTTCTCTTAAAGAGAAGGGGAACAAAACATCTCAAAGGCTTTCCCCCACAGCTGTGTATATGAATATGTATAGGCCATCAACGTCCACTAAGGGCCTAATAATAAATCTACTCAAGCCAGCATATATGGATGATACACTTGTGCTAATTGTCTGTGTGTATTATCAGGGGCGACTGAGGCCCAGAGGAGAAGGGAAGTGCGGCCTCCTAACTGTCTACAAGTGACACACAAACACACAGAAAACACCTTCTGAGTCAAACTAATGCCCTTAAACACATATACAAAGACAAAACCTACCACACACCTACTAGCAAGCATAAACAAGCACATACACACGCACACACACACTCCCATTGGTGCTGGTGCATAAGTAATGCCCTCCGTTTTAAAGGTCTTGTCACAGTGCAGCAGACATGTGGAGGGGAAGAGAGGAGCTCAGCTAACCAGGGGCCAGGGGCCTGCCTGCCTTCACATTGTGCGTGTATACATGTCTGTGTGTGTGTGTGTGTGTGTGTGTGTGTGTGTGTGTGTTTGTGTGTGTACACTATATAGAGACAGAGACACTTGGCTGCTGCCTTGTGGGTTTAATTAGCAGCGGGTTACCGACACTGGCGTTCAGGTTAGCGGCTCAGCTTGCCATTTTAACATGGAAGTCTGCCTTCCTGCCAGTAATAAGGAAAAGCGAGTGGTGACAGAGAGTGGAAGAGTTAAGTGTGTGTGTGTCGGAGCGCATGTGTGTTTATGTGGAGATAGCCTGCATGTCATTGAGGTGGGAGGATATTGATATACAAGGTGAAAGGCCAAAGGGGGGGGACGGGGACGGGGGGGGGACTTGTACATGCTGGAGAATCAAGTATTTTTACATCTAAGTGTGGTGTGAAATCAGTGCTAATTTAAATCAATGCATGTAGTAGTTAATACAAAAACATCAGAAAGTTAAAGAAGGTTTTGTACTAACATGTCTTTATACATCTATGGAAATGACACATATAAAGGGCTAAGCAGTGAAGCTTTAATTTCTTTTTCTATTTTTGTGTTTACCATGAAGGCTCCCTGCAAAAATAGATCCAGCACATGTACTAATAGCATAAATGTTCCTCTCTCTCTTTTTCATGTAACTGACACAAATGCACACACAAGCCGGCACACACACCCACCGCTCCGGCAACATTCCCAGCGATATCATTTCATTTTGAACTTCAGAGAGCTAATTCAGGGTGCCAGCCACCTCGCGGCTACCGTTTCCAGGTGAGAACACTTAAAAGCAACACTGAGGAGCTATTAAATGCTGATCTTGACAAGTTTCCTCATGCAACAAAACAATAGATGACTAAACGTGTCACCACCGCTGAGCTGAGCTCCTAAAGCGAGCACCCCCCCCCCCCGCCCGCCCGCCCTGCTCCACACACACACGTAACCCACACCCAACTAACAACATCTAAACTGTCATCTAAATCTGACACCCGCTTTATGTAACCCCGTTTAAACTGCACCTGTGTGTGAGTGCGTGTGCGTGTTGTGTGTGTGTGTGTGTGTGTGTGTAGCCGACTGGCATCTCCAGGAACATGAAAGCTCTCCCTGTGACACCGACAATCACTGCTCCGAGGCACGCCACCGAGAAGCCATCTTTGTTCTGATGACGAGTCTGTTGCTTTGTTGCCGCCTGTTTTCATGTGCTCGGCTGGGTTACAGTATAGAGCCAGCCTCTGACTTGCAGAGATGTGTGTGTGTGTTTGTGTGTGTGAAGCTGAACCAAGACACTGTTCTGTTTTGTAGCAGCAAATGTTCTGCCAAGCGTTCTTACAAAACCGTCTGCCAACCTGTGCTCTTGCTTTCAAGTTGGAAATCTACCTGTTTTCTCTGCGTCTGTGTGTCTCGCTCGCTCAGTTTGCGTTGCATCCTTTTGCATCGGCTCGCCAGCTTACCGGATTCACAAACACATCGCTTTATACCTTACACCTCTGCCCCTCGCCTAAATATTCAGCTAAGCTACCCAGACTTGGTATCCTTAGAACACACAGACTTAGGTTTTTGTTTGTGAACGGAGCGTACAGTGCGCGGGGATTGACTGATGTCTTCTTTAAGTAAGTGTACTGAGGTGATAGGACATGAAAACCTGCTAATCCGATACAGGCTTGCCTTCTCACACACGCACGTTTGTTACCAAGCTGCAAGGCAAACTCTTGGTACCTGGTAGAGGACGACGCACTGCACACGGAAATCTGGCTTTCCATAAGCATTGCTTTAAAAATAAAATAAAAAAATCGCACTGCATCATGCTTATGGATGTGTGCTGCAGGAAACTAATATTGACTTTGACATATGTGTGGCACATTTTCCACAGGGGATAAGCAAACACTCTTGTCAGGGTATTAATGTTATATATATTCACCTCTGATTCATTTAAATCCATGGCTGTCAATTACGCTTCTTTTGAGTGTATTGTTGTGTGATGATGGAGTGTGAAAATCCAGCTTAGTGTCATGTCTGGCTGTGTCTGTCATACACTTATAAACACTTTATTTATTTGTCATATTAGTCACACATACACCTTTCACTTTTTATTACACAGACTGCTGTAGAATTAGCAAAGGCCTGACCTAAATCCTACAGCAGCTCCCCATGGGTGGACTACTTTCTTGTATCAGTACAGTGTTTTGCCTTCTGCAACTTATTACAGTCGAGAAATGCATAATTTGGGAAGGGGGGGGGGGGGGAATAAGCCGGAACAATGTCCTGATTTCAAGAGTTTATGCAAAATTCACATGGACATTTACAGCCTGTGAAAAACACTCGCCAGATCGTTATTTCACAGTTAATTACAAATCTAATTAGAATATTCAAATTAAAGCTTTTCCCCTTTTCTTTTCTTCTCTGTGTGAGAGCAGGGAGCCAGGGAAAGAGTGATAGAGAGAGAGAGAGCGAGAGAGAGAGAGAGAGGGGAGAGAGAGTCCCAGTGAGTGGCAATGTGATAACCTGTAATCGGCAGTGCTGCAAACACCTTCTTCCTTTGATGTCCCCCCACTAACATCCAGGCAACAAAGCCGGCCAATTACAAATGAGCTAATTAACTAAATTGTTGATGGAGCATGAAGAGTTCATTCGCTCCGGCGCCTGCACCATGACAACAGTGAATGGGGGCCTTTTGTTGTGGAGGTAAGTGTGCGGCCGTGCGAGTTGCCATTAGCTTTTGACGCTTTTTCCCCCTCACAAACCTATCAGGCCCTGCCACGCCAGGGAGGAGATTTGTTATGGATCAGAGTCGGTTTGAATCCTGCGCCGCTAAAGCTGAACCCTGTCAACCGGCTGTCTGGAAGGTCAAAATGTGCTCTTTGAGAGGCACTGATGTTTTCTTTATACCCGCAGAAAGGAGGTGCTGTGGTGTAGAGGGGACGCGGGCTTTTGTGCGCGGCACAATGAAACAGAAATTAGCTTCTTGTACAGACACACACAATCCCACATGGCGCTAACAGGGAGAGGTGAGCAGGCATCCTCTCCGGGGTAACATCGGTGTCATGGAGCGTGTGCTTACTTCAGAAACTGTCCAAAGTCCTCGCAGATGTTCTCACAGCCAGGCCATTTACACACACCGTGACCGTACAGGGGGTGGGTCCCTCCACTTTCTTCATGTAGTGAACTGAAGAGAGAGAAGAAGAGGAGGAAATAAGCAAACCAGAGTAGAAGACAGGAGAGTAACAGGACCTTCAGAAACACACTTTCCTTCTACTTTACACTTCTTTTTTTTGACATAATCACACTATCTGTTCTCATACAATAAATCATGAATGTTAAAAAACAACAACAACATGGTAGCAACAAGCACAATCTTGAAATTGTACAGATTGTAGACACAAGGAACATTTGGAAATACTTTCTACATGTCACTACAGCGGGAAAAGGTTGCTGTTTTCGAGATGTTTTGAGTGACACAGTTTCAGCACTTAATCATTCACCGAGGTCTATTGACCTACATTGCCATTAAAGTATCACCCTTTCTGTGCTTATCAAGTATTTGAAGTTACATAGAGAAACTATACACTTAGCAAAAAATCCAAAGCAAGAACTGAATTTCTACTACAGAGTTTAAAGGGTGAAGGAAGGCTGTGCACGTGCAATTAAAATCAGCTAAAGAGGAATAAAAAATAAAAAAAAGAAGGTCAGGTCAGATTAATTGGTTACATTTAGGAGCTATAAGGCATAAAAACAGCAACTCAACAAAAAAAACACAGAAAAATGGAACAAAGCTGAAACCGACAAGCTTTACCAGTATGTAGCTACAATGACTTAGAGGGAAGTGGAGACCAATGTGTCATTCTGCAGATCTCCAGTGAGCTGCAGCTTGGTCTCCACCACAGCCTCCATCCCAGCTTGTAAAGCCATTACTAGGAGGAGGAGGAGGGGTGCACCCTTTCAAGTAAACATGAAAAGTCCAGACAGCCATATAATTTTCATCAGGAGATTAATACTCTCTGTAACTTATGTTCTTTGAGGACAAGGGGAGCAGGATGGGGGGGATGGCTCTGACGTTTTTCAAATGGCACCCAAATAAGTTACGACCCTGCCAAGACAGCACATCCTATTAAAGATGACAATTTAACCTTTAGGCTTGGCACTAGTGTGTGTGTGTGCGTCCGTCTCGACGTGTGTTGCGAACAGTGGTGTGTTTGTCTGCTTATAGGATATGCCTGTGAATGTTTGTGTGTGGCCGATTTTCTGTGTGTGGTCTATGAACATATGTGTGTGTGTGTGTGTGTGTGTGTGTGTGTGTGTGTGTGTGTGTGTCTGTGCTGGCAGCGCTCACACTGTGTTTTACAGAGGGGGTTTCCCCACATCGATTGGTGGCATGTTAGTAAGCAGCGCTCCTCACAATACTCCTTGTTCGATCATTATGAGACAGCGCACACCCCTCGGGACACAGACGGATAAAAAACTCTTCACCCCCCCTCACTCCTTTCTTCCTTTTCTCCTTATTCCCCCTCTTCCTACATCTCTCTTTCCCCTCTGAAGGTATCCTTTTCAAGCCTCCTTTTAGTGCTAGTGGAGAGATAGCATCTACTTTAAACCAATTACACAGCACTTCCACCTACAGTGTCTCTACACAGACACACACATGCCGCCACCCTGAGTCCTTATTATAATATCGCCCAAGAAAAGCCTTTGAATAATGCATGGGCCAGATAGGCAGATATGTGAACAGTCAGTGTTTTGGTGCATTTATAAAAAAGACGCCATCACAAGGATAAACATCCTGGAAATGCCACTCAAGGCATCACGTATTCTGTTTACATGACAAGCAAGCAAGGAAGGTAATTTTCAAAAGAGGGGGGAAAAAAAAGAAAGAAGCACTAAATACTTAATGTACAAGGAGGTTACCTTGTCTTCCCTGCCAGAGAGGCTTGTTATAAGAGCGCCTGCCTGCATGGCTTCCTCCGCCTGTGTTTGATATCTGTGTGCAAGTTAAGTGTGTTCACGTGTTCCCATGGGAGAACGCGCCTCTTATTTTTTTTGAATATTACCAAGATGCTAATAAACTATTGAACAAATAAACAATGTTTCCCTGCTGGAACCAGGATGTTATTTTAAACGAGGATGTGTTCCTATGTTGAATCATGACACCAAAAAAACAACAAGTTCCTGTTGTAAACTTTTCATCTTCTCTGCCTGTTTTTTCCTTGGTGCATGGGTGGATGACTTTTCATTTATCTATTTTTTTTTTTTACCTCTCTCGTTCCCTTTCCCGTTCCCGTTCCCTCTCTCGTCTGTGGTTGAGGACGGGGGACTGTCCGTTGGCGATGGAATGGTGATGAGAGATGGGCGGCGATGCTTTGGCGGGATTTGAGGAGGAGGTAGTTGAAGAAGAGTTGTTGGTGGAGAGGTCTAAGCCGCCGCTACCCACGCCGCCTCCTGTGCCGGTGCCTCCGCTGCTGCTGTGTTTGATGCCGTTGTCCTCCATGGCATGGCCGCCGTTGCCGCCGCCGCCGCCGCCGCTGGTCACGTCCTTCCACAACTGCTGGAGCTCTGCAGGGCTCAGGCCAGCTAGTGGGTTGGTAGAGACAAAAGATGGGTTGAGGATCAATCCAACATGGCTGCTCGTCTAAGATTCTCTCATCAGCTGTGAGGCAAAGACTGAAGCCTAAACTCTGCAAACTTTAAAAAAAGAAAGAAAAGTTCTCTGAAACTGCAGGGACATCACCCTGGCGACATGACTAAGCCCTTAATCTAAACTGCTCAATAAAAATAAAGTACTCTTTAACCTGTTAGCGCTCAACCCTTGTTGTCCAGGGTCTCTGAGATTTGTCCGTTTTCAATGGAGATGACGTATTACACTGACATTAACATTAACATTGATTCTAAGACAAACAGGCTTGGCTTTGGCTTGTTTTTACTGTTCCCTATTTACTCCTTTGATTTTATTCTTATACTTCCCTGCCTGTTGTTTTCTGTCTCCGCCATCTTGGAAGTAAACAACAAACATAGGTGTTTACTTGGCTCAGGAGAAGGAAAATGGAGCCAGTTCTCTTTTCTCTTTCTCTCTCTCTCTCTCTGTCCTTGTTTATACTTCTCTTCGTTCTCATCTCTGTGGCTCGCTCAGTAAAAGGCAGTAAACAACAATAACAACAACAGGAACCAGGGAGAGAGAGGAGAGAGAGAGAGAGAGAGAGAGAGAGGAGGGGAGGCTGGGGAGCGGGGGAATAGAAACAGAGATGGAAAAACAACAAACAGAGCAAAGCAGAGCTGGTAGACAAAGAACGGCATAATCAGACAAGAAGAGAGAATGGAAGACAAAACGATGATGTGGAGAGTTAGGGACAAAGTGGAAGGCAGAATAGCATACAAATGAGGGGGAGGCAGACAGAAAGACATACTTAGAGATAAAGCGAAGGGCGACACAGGTGCATACAAATGAGAAAAACAAAGACAGGCAGGATTGAAAGACAGAAAGTGACAAAAGAAGACACTTAACACCTGCAGACAAATCCTAGGGAGCATGTGACAACCGCTGCTGCAAGTCACGTGCTCAGGATCAACACTCCCCTCACTCTCCCCCTCCCACTTCCTCCTCCTCCTCCTCCTCCTTACCTTGTGGTGGCAGGGTTTGTCCGGGCAGGGCGGCCTGGCCTGGTGCGGGCCCAGGCAGTGAGAGCAGGCCCTGCCGCTGCATGTTGAGCAGGTGCTGCTGCTGCTGGAGCTGCTGCATCTGCAGGAGCTGCTGCTGGAAGACGAGCTGCTGGGCGGCCAGCTGCTGCTGCTGCTGCTGCTGCTGCTGTTGCTATAGAGAGAAGGAGGAGGAGGAGGAGGAGGAGGAAGAAGAAGAAGAGGAGAAGAAGAGAGGAGCATAGAGGAGGGGAGAGGAAAATTACAGGCGAATTAACAACTGAGAGGAGAGGAGAGTAGACAGAGGGGTGTTTGTGTGTGTGAGGGGAGAGTCTGCACTCACTTGCCTCTGCTGTGACCTTAGTTATACCTCTTTGCCTCGTCCTCTCCCTCTCTCTGTCTGTGCTCTCTGTGCTCTTCCTCCTGTTATTTGGGCTCTACCACACTGCCTCTCTTGTCCTATCTCTCCGTGTGTTGACGTCTGTGAGCGCACTCACAAACAAGACAACAAAGCTCTGCTGATATACCAGCTCTGAAGCCTGTCTGTGTATACGGCTTGTGATTGTGTATGATACTAAGCCTCTGGTATAACCCCAACCCCCCCCCTTGATAGTTAATTGTCTCGCCTTCACTGATGGTCTGTTACAGCTTATGTGGCCAGAGGGAGCTGGCAGAGAGAGGGATTTAGTGCATCCTGTGCGTTTTGATGCATAGACATGAATGCAGTCGCACACATATACACAACACCCCCTTTCTCTGCGCTCCTCGCTGCCTCGCTGAGTTGTTTATGTCGCTCAGACAGACCGGCGATTGCGTAAGCACTCTCAACAACAACAACAACAACAACAAAACAACAACATCAAGGAAAACATTAAACTCAGTCACCGCAGCAACCAAAAACAGAGATGGAGAGCATTTGGTAGGAAAATGAAAGGTTTTTTTTTTTTATCTGAGCTGGAGTGTCATCAATGTGTATAAAAAGTTATAGAAAAAATGCACTTCCTCCAGTGTCCAATCAAGGCTCCAAATCCAAGGAATCACTACTCAAACACTTATTAAATCCTATTTTAGAGCAGACATAAACATGTTTACAACCTGGTGCGAAACAGAGTTATTTATTTGTAAAAACTGTATGGGAGGCGTTTTTTTTCTGTGACTCTATTTTGATTATATGAACGCTAAGAGTAGCACAGAAGGTGGCGTAATAAGGGGGGCGTGGCTTATTTGACGGACAGTCGTGTGCATTGTCGACGTTTGCCAGGAGGCTAGCCTTACTTAAGCTAACTCCCACTCCTGACTTCAAACTGTTGCTTTCATTGTTTGGACAATGCTCGCGAAATGATGAGCAAGACAAGCTGGGTGGTACATTTTTCAGCTTCACCTCTTTGCCTGCTTATCGATTAGCCAGAAGTTACTTGGAATCAGGATTTCCAATATGGCCTCCACTATCGTTCAGAAACCGTTGGGTGACGTCAATGAGACTATGTCACTGTTTTACACAGCATGATGAGTCAGCCATGTTGAATTGGATTTTCAATTGCTGTTCTTCGCTTTTGTTCACTAAAATGAAATTCGCATTTTCACGTGTTTCTGTATGTTGCAGCAAAGCTGGAGGGACAAGTGGAAGGGGGGGGGGGTAAAACTTGTGATGCGCTCACTGGAAAACAGGCTGCATAATGGAGTGATGGAGAGAGGCAGGTTGCCCCCTCCACGCCACCCTGCCTCAAGAGAAATAAGGGAGCAATTTCTATTCCATATTTGATGGCGAGGCTCCCTGAAAAACTCTATTCGCAAATCCAAACAGAAACAAAGCCGCCGGGAGGTCAGCGGCGGCTTCCTGTCGGGGCGGTATAATGGGCTGCTTGAGGAGACACTGAGAGGTGCAGAGAGGGAAAAAGGAAGACGTGTTTATGTGATGTCTTTTTTTTTTCCTGATCAATTTAAACTGCCACCACACGGGAAAAAAAAAAAAGAAAAAAAAAAAAAAGAGTAGTGCCTGGATGTGAACGGCGCAGGGTTCAGGCTACGCAAATGTGGCTCAGGCTGTCGTTTTCATCTCTTCTTCTGCGATAGCCCCCAAAAAAAACATGCTCGTGTCCATCCAGCGGCTGACTGTCACTGTGATTTATGAGCAACGAACGCTGTAAGTTTAGAGGTGGTGCATGTGTTTGCATGTGTTTGTACGCCTAAAGAAGCAGTTCATTAATGAGATGGACCCTTTGTCTCTGGTCTCCTTCTTTATAAAATTAGAACATTGTGCGAGTACGCATGAATGCATCGAGTGTGTGAACGTCAGAGTTTTTTACTTCCTTGAGGCATTTCAGTCATTGACTGTGTGAGAAAAGGTGTGAAAGTGTGAGTGCGTATTCGATGACACCCACCTCTTTAACCTGCTTGCCAGGGTGCTGCTGCTGGAGGAGCTGCAGATGAAGCTGCTCCTGTTGCTTCTTATAAAACTCCTGCAGGTGTTGCTGTACACAAACACACAAATAAACAAGTAAATAGATGCTCGACCATGAATCTCAACAAATCTCAACACTGCATTTCTTCAGACCCAGCTGCACTTCACACACTTTTTGTTCTGCATAATCTGTTGCACATTCAAAATATCTACTGCTTTTGGCATTTGTATCCTTGGCTGTCTTACACAGCCCTCTCCATGTGGACTTTTAATAGTCCCACAGTTGTGTAGGGGGGCAACGATTCATCATATTAACAACACATTTGGCAGCCAGAGAGCTCTGGCTCCTCTGGAGAGGCTGAGATAAACAGAATGAAGCCCCTGTTACTACACTGAACTGATTTCTTTAACACACATGCTGTGGCAGCCATGTACATGATGATTTGATGTTTATTTTATGTCGTCTTCTGATGGGTTCTTGACCTGGATTCATACAGCAGGCCTGTGGTCATAGAAATATCCACATGCTTTCACAGACACTAATATACAAAATTAACTGGAGGCCTTGTAGCAATATGTTTTTTTGAAGTCTTTCTACAGTCACTTCAATACACATAAAGTCATAAAAAAAGCTTCACCTCATGACCAATTTGACTCCTTCTAAAAGATTTTGGATGATTGAGGTTTTTTAGAGAATATATGTAGGAGGGTAACTCACTGTACAATTGGATACGCGATTGTGCCCAATGATAACATATTATCACGATTACAGCTATTCTGCTCTTATTAATGAACTGAATATTCTGAATAACATCACGACATGTGATTACCTGAAGAATGTCAAATGTCTCCTAAAAAGGTAAAGTGCAGGATTACTGAAGTTATTCACTGTAATCCGGTGTTAGTTTCACCCCTTGTCATGCTTTATCCTTTAACTTATTTTCACTACTGTACCACATTATCATGCTGCTCCTTCTTTTTTTTTTTATCCTGCTGTGACCTTTTTTTGGTCACTTAACTTCCATTCATGTGACCCTTACTCATGTCATAAGAGCTACCTTGAGAAGTCCTGAAAAAGTTAGGCAGGGAGTCAAATTGTCAGGGAGATGTGTTTAGTGTGCAGTACTTTTTAAAGCAAAATATCCACATGTGGCACCAGTGGTTGGATAATGAAATCAAACAATTCAGGATGACAATATATTACTGTATTCATATTTTTCCCCACCTCCAATGTTTTGTATGACAGCTTCAAATCAGAAAACTTCAAGTACACCAATAAAGTGCCTTTGGTTGTCGTGTAAAAAGAAATTCAAAAAGGCTTGCCATTGTACTGAAACCAAATCTGGATTCTGAGTGCTCTTAATGAAGAGCAATAATCAGAGTGACTAATGTTCTTAATTAAACAATTCTCTCTCCGTTAATCAAATCTATGAATGAGAAATGCATTTCAACTCTGACACCGCACTCAGAGTCTGCTTCCTCGAGCCGATTCCAAATATTACATCATGCGTCACCCATCACTCAGCTCCTGTCGTTCAACCTAACCGTGCTCTGCTCTCCTAGTCCCTGATGGAGGCTTGTCAGGGAATTGAACCGGGGACACACAGGAGACGATTAATTGAAGGTGACATGAACGAGTCTGTCAATTTCTGATTGTTTTTTTCTGTAAGCGTGTCAAGGACGCAGAGCTGTGGTGAGTTGGTGAGCGACTGGTGGCTGCAAAAATGACTCAGGTTGTGATTTTTTTTATTTTTATTTTTTATTTGGATGGTGAAACTGAACTCTATAGGGGTTGTGTATTGGTATTGTGCATACCTGCTGCAGCATGACAGCCTGCTGCTGCTGGAGCAGAGCTTGGAGCTGCTGTGGGGAGAGAACCTGCTGCTGGAGGATCTGCTGCATCTGTTGCGGCGTGATCACCTGGGGACTCATCATGGCCACTGACACTGGAACCTAGAAGAGATGGGACGAGAGGAGAGGATTGGATGAATTTGGAACAAAACTACAAAAGAAGGGGATTGAGAAGGAATAACTGTTGATGAAAGAAAGAAAAACTGGATCATTCGAGTCATGCGTCAAGACTTCTGGGGTGGATCTACTAGGATTGGGTAATTGGTAACTGCAGATAGGGAGAGCTGGCCTTCTTCGGCAGTGACGCCCAGCAGCCTAGAGGAGACGCTGAAGGACAGATGGGTGCTGTGCCTGTGTGTTGCTTTTCTTATTTTGCGCTGCCTGCAACCCCCGCTGGGAGCAGTAAGAGATTTAAAATAGACATAGACCTTAATTAGCAGGACCCTTGAACTCCCCCCTACTTTAACATGCCAAACAGAGCTGCTGTGGTGAAAAAGCAGAAAAATACACAACTGTATAGTTGATTCAACTACACACTGATGAGCTGGACAAATCAACGTCAGGTGGTTGATCATCGCTGACATGTTTGGGGATCACCTTGATGCATTTTTCATGTTGGAAGGCAGATTAATTTGGGAAAAAATTTGTTTTTTTTTACATTACAACCCAAAGCACACTTCTTTGTTGCTCATATTTTAAAAATGGATGACATTATCAGGTGATAATCATTAAAATAAGACCTGTCAAGCTAGGGTAGAACTTCAGCCCAATTCTTTTAAGACGGCAGTGTAAGCGTGCTCGGAGACAGCAGATCAGTAGCAAAAAGGAACATTTCTCCAACATGTCTGATTGTGAGAATGCACGCCAACAGGGGAGTTCAGGCTAATGGTCATAATTGTAAAGTTTCAGCTCCTTGTTTCTGCTTTAAAGTTACACAACCTTTTTAAGAGAATAAAAAAAGTCTGTGTCAGAAAGTGTTTTTCGAGTTGTGGAGAATATCAGCCATGTGAGGTGTATGATTCAGCATCCAACAACACCAGTTGATACTCGTGGACTGAATAAGGTCTTACACTCATCACTTCAACGACTGAAGTGGCTTAAAATACCTCTCGCTCGCCCTTAACCTTTAAAATGAAACGTAATAAGCTTAGAGACAAATTGTTGATGTGTTTGGCACAGCAGGAGAGTTACACAACAATCTATACAACTGCATCTTGTCAACAAAGACGAGCTTCATGCTGCTCTAATGCAATTAAAATATCAACATGTACTAGCAGCTTCATGGACACTAATTGCGACAGTGTTTGGTATAGAGTGGCCATGACAGTAGCTAGCCTATACGGTGTGTCAAGGGGCCAATAAGACATCCCTGTCCTCATCGCCAGCTAATCAAGCTGGCTTGATTACTTTCCATGCATGTCCTCCTTCTTTCCCTCCCTCTCTCTCTCTCTCTCTGTCAGGCCTTGACACGTCCTTGTTTAGCTCTCCTCTCCGCCCCTCCCCACCCCAGGTTTTCCCCCCTCTTTGATTAGCCGAGACATTTGCATGGTCACTACACATTTTTCATTTTAGAAGTCATTATGCATTAGTGGCTCCTGATCGCCCGCCTTGACTAATCCTGATGAACTGAAAATCACAGCTGAAGGTCAACTTCCAGCCGGCCCCTGCTGCACATTCATATTCATATTCAAACAAATCCTGCCTCCATTGTTCATTAGGGGTCTTAGAGAAGGGACTCCATCTAAAGGTGGAGGAGGAGGAGGAGGAGGAGGAGGAGGTGGAGGAGGAGGATGTTGTGGTGGTACATCTCTTTTCTTCTTCTGGACTCCTCTTTGCGAGAGAGCAAAAAGGGAAAAATGCATTCACAATAACTGGCTGCAGAACAAAAGCCGTCAAAAGTTGCAAATTAAACAGTCCAAGTGTAATTATGCAAATTCTCTGCTTACACCTTCGATGTTATTAACCCTTAAAGGTACATTTGCTGGGTAAGTAATTACCCCGCAGTCACTCCTGGTTTTGTGTTGGACGCCATGACAATAGGAGGAGAAACAACATGACTGATGCACTCATTAAGACTATTAATTGAATGCTGGCTCAAAGATGTTTTGGTTCACAAAAGGCATGCAGCTTTGGACATGTAGGATTTCAAATGTATGCGCATGCATACATAAAGTGGAATTAAATATAAATTCAGCGTTGCACTTCAAATGCTTCCCTTGTTGTGTAAGTGGCAAGTACAAGCATTTATATTCAGGTACCTGTAAATGAATAATGCAGCATTTCAGCAACAATGAATAAAACAAAATAAGACGTCAAGAAAGAAAAAACACACACGGCAGAGAGGACGTTTAAAGCGCAAAACAACAAGGTTATGAAATCAGGAAGTGCATTTTACACTTTCATTAGCTTTTGAGAGCCATAATGGTAGATAATCATCTTCATTTCACCACTGCTCCAAACAAAAAGAGGGGGGGGGGGAAAGGGAGAGAAAAGGCAGCAGGAAGAAAGAGAGGGGAGAAAAGGCAGTGGCCCACGTCCATTGTGAAGTGCAGCACAATGCTAATTCCAGCATTTAACTGCATGCTTTTCTGCTTGACGTATCAGAGGCTCCAAGATGAAAGCAGATAAGTAATTGCTCTCCTGGTTCTTATTCTTCACTGACAACCCATAAATTTAATTTTACACACACGTTCATTTACATTTTCGAGTATATGACATGATAATTGCAGGAATATAACACCTCCATTTTGCGGGATACTGCACGAGGGCTTGATTGACGGGAGCGGTGAATTGAAAGGAACAGGAGGCTGAATTGCCTCTCCTAGAAATGATTTTGCCACGAAGGGATAAAATTAATGAGCATTTATGAGACGGTGGCAGCGGCGTAAACATCCGCACACCGTGAATAGACTTGGTTTCACAGGAGAGGAGCCATGAGATCAGAATGGGCCTCTGTTTCTCTGTAATCCAAAAGGATATTTTAAAAAGAGAAGCACAAAAAAAAATGGGATTTGGCTGCAACTGAGTTAGCCTCTGGGGGACCCAAACACACACAAAAAATGCTTTTCCTGTTTTTTAAAGTGCAAATTTGGATGGGAAAGACTGGTTTGCAAATGACTTTTGAACAAGTCTATTGGATGGAACCCAGGGTTGCAAAGGACATGCTTGTTATTAACTACGTTCACCATTTGAACCCCTATTTGTTTATGTTCCCTGTCCTAAAGAGAACGATGAGCTGTATTGACATGAACTTTGAAGCCATGTGGTTTGCCCTGAAAGTTGGAGAGCAAAACAAAGGACCTTTAAATTAGCTCCTGATGTGAAAACACTGGTGGGGCCCCTCACCAGAACAAGCAGATCATTACAGCACTCTTGTCACAGCCGCAGCCTGTAACCAGCCTCTCCAATGCCTCGCAAAAGGTCAAGCTCTTCTACTGAGAGAGCTCAGGTATCTCTTCTAGGCAGAAGAACTGGCACCCAAGTCTCTCGTTATGTTTGATTTAACCGGGCATTCTAGCATTAAACACCCCCCCCCCCCCCCCAAAAAAAAAAATGCACCGCATGCTTCTCAATGGCTTGCTAACACAGCTATCTGGGATTAACTATCTGCACCAATGGACAAATGCACTTCCAGCAATTACGCCCACTCCTGTGTGTAGCACTTTATCTTTACAGTTTTTACGAGTGAACTCAAATTACCTAACCCAGGAGATAAGTGATGTATCAAGGTTCAAACTTAAACAATTAAAGTCAAGCAGAGAGGAGTTCCTTTTATTCGATTTCCCCTCCATACAATTCACTTAGCAGCAATAAGCGGGGGGGGGGGGGGGGGGGGCAGTAAACATTGTGGGGGCAGTGAACACGGGGAAGTTATCAATGGCGGAGGTTGTTCCTGTAGCGCTGGACAGGGGATGGAACAGACACTGTGGAGATAAACGCAATGAGAAATGGAAGAAGGTCCTAGTCAGTAATTACTGTGGATCCTTGGCAGGGGGAGTCACTGCTAATTAAGCCACTAGCTTCATTTGACACACTGAAATAGAGAGAGAGAGAGAGAGAGAGAGAGAGAGATATCTAGAGAATAAAAAGAAAATGCCCCCCCTGCATCCCCTTTTTCATCTCAATCTCCTGAGCCTCCCAGGGGGCTGCAGGACCCAAACTCAGACCTCCACCTCCCCTCATGGCAAGTGGACGTCTGACCTCTCAACTCCTGCTCAGCTGACATTCCTCATTTACCAGCCAATTACTGCCACATGATTATTGATACGGCCACGTGATTATTGATAGCTGGGACTCTCCCACTTGAGGACCACAGGGCACACGGTTGGGTGAGCGCCTCGCGTTGAAGTTCAAGTGTGTGGTCTTCAATAAGTCATACATGTGCGTTTACTATGTAAAATCGCAGACGCCGTGTTTTAAGCTTAAGGAGATCAATACTCGAGATTGTCAGGACTGAAGCTAAGTGGATTACTGAATGTTTTCCTGAATCAATTTCCATAGCAGCTTGGCGGCAGTGCAAGGGAAGCCCAATTTATCATAACATAAAGACCCATTATGTAGGAGCGTCTAATAAAAGAGCCCGGGGAGACTGGCACAGGCTCAGAACAATTTCCATATTGATTTATCTTGACATGCAGATCGTCATTGATTAAGCTTCTGGAATGCGGCGTACACCACTACACACTGTTTGTGTCAATATCGGCACAAATCACTGCACCTTTATCATTAAAAGGGTGAATTTTGCTCCCAACTGATGCCTCCCTGCAGGCGCACATAATTCAAGAGTGAATGAGGAGGGACACATAGAGCGGGAGAATTAAAAAGAGAAAGTGCAAGAGAGGGGGAAGAGTGCCGAAATGGAAAAGAAAGTAAAAGAGAGGGAGTACAAGTGAGAGCAAGAGGGGGGGGTAGGCACTTCCCTCTGATGTTGCAGGTAATATGGCCTCCACTGGATCAGCCTCTTCATCAGTGACACACAGTAAATTACAAGTGCTTCAAGCAGCTCAGTGAATTATAGTTCATCACTTGGAAAAGGCTTTCCCCCCTCACCGACGGGGCCCGGGCGTATCAGATCTGCCGGTTAGGATCCAATTAACACCCTGGCCAGAATCATCTGATTGCATGTGTAAGGGCTGGTATAACTCGTTTATTGCACCCATGTATCTTCTGTCACAAGGTAAATTTGTTGCTGCTACATCAAAGGTCTGTGCTACTTTTCTTTTTTTTCTTTTTTTTTTATCCTTCCCTCCCTCCCTTCTCACTTTCTCTTGATCCACCCTCCAAACTCAGCTACTTCGCCTTGGGGTTGCATTTCCAACTTCTTTTGCATCACAATGATGAACCTGCTCTGTCCTCGCAATTTAGCAATCTTGTCCTGTAGGTGTTGTAAATGCAGAGGGGGGGGGGGGGAAGAACGGAGGTGGGTATGGGAGATGGGGAGTAAAAAAAAAAAAAGAAAAAAAAATCTTGTTTTCTGGTTACAAAAGCAGTAACCAAGGGTGTTTGACTTAGAATATGCTGACGTTTTTTTTTTCTCTCTCTCGTTCTTTCAGAGTCAACAGAAGTTTTCCTCATGAATAACATAATATTTTCCCCCTCTCTTTTTTCCTGTCGCAGTGATAATTTTTTCTCTATTTTCAGATCCAACCAGAGGGGATGCAGGGGGGATAGATATATTCATAAATGTAAATGTGAGCTAGCATGCTTTAGCCACGCACGTTTGGAGTCAGCTAACCTATACTGGAGCCTAGCGTCTCAGCCCTTTTCCTTGCATCTGTGTGTGTGTGTGTGTGTGTGTGTGTGTGTGTGTGTGTGTGTGTGTTCCGGATGAGAGCCAATAAGCAGATGAGTGCTGAAATCAAGATGATATTGGCTCAGCGGTGGAACGTGTGGACCTGACCTTTAAGAGTGTGACACTTCTGAGGATGGCCCAGTGCCCATGACCAATCTGGGTTGGCCTGGGCAAGAAGCTGCGGGAATTTACAGAAAACACGGCGACACCAACATCTGGAAACCAACTTTAAGAAAACATTCAGATTTGCATTCATACTTTCATTAGTCTTCTAACGGGTACTCACAGCCTGATAGTGTGAAAGGGGCAGAGCAACAGTGGCGACACTTGCTCAGCTGAACTTTAAGGATTTTGCTGGTTAATAACTCATCATTAACTACTCTGAGGAAGTGGAGGGCGGGTTCCTTCACACTGCCAAGCCTCCATCTGACACACATGCAGAGTAAGGGGGTCATTCATGCTGTTGAATACACAACTCTTGACATATTATGGTGGTGGTTGTTTCACAAGGGGAGCCTATGTTTGCCATGTTAGGCATAGACTCCAAGTTTGGAGTTTACCTTACTGGAGGACAAACCGCCGTCTCCTCCAGCTCTGCCCTGTTCTTTGTCAATAGCTATCAACAGAACTATACTGGCACAAAGTCACTTTAGCAGTGAATAAACTTTAAAGAACTGTCATTGAGCTTGTGTTTGTGTGTGAGCGCAGCATGTGCGCACATGCATTATGTACCTGTGTGTGTGCGAGCAAAACAACTGACGGATCCGTAGGTCGCTGTAATCCTCTCCGCCTCTTCTTGTCCGCGTTTCTTTATTTGTATTCCAAATGTCAGTGTATAAATGCCTTTTCAGAGATGGGGGGGGGGGGGGGGGTATTGCCATTGAGAAGCAGGAGAGCCATGGGAGAGAGAAGCAGAGGAGACGAGAGGGTGCCGTGTGCCTTGGGAGAGCCGTGTAAGCAGCATGGTGGAGGCAGGAGGGGATTTACGGGGAGAAATAGGTGTTTATTGAGTGCTCCCGTGGGCTTACTGTGTAATAATAGACCTGTCACATTACGCAAATGTGGAGAAGCAGCTTGTGTGTGTGTGTGTGTGTGTTTGTAGGACTGTTTTTTATATATTTTTTTTACTTGTGTGCTTGAATGCCAGATCTGCCTGCCTCCGCATCATCAACTCAGCGATGAGCGAGCGGATAGAATTAGTCAGGCGAGAGCCTTTAGCTGCTAATACGCGTAATTAAAACTACAGCTGAGGCACTTAGATGCTTGTGTACTAAATAATTTACATGCCATGATCTATGGATCATTTCCCGCTTTTAAATACCAAAGATGCGAGAACAGGGAGGGGGGGGGGAGAGAGAGACTGGCAGAGGATTTATCGGTATCTCCGCCATAAGCAGGATGTCATGCTAATATTAATCCTTTTCCCACTTTCTACTGCGCTAATCATACAAGGGGATCAATGTGCGTGATTCCTCTGGTGGAAAAAATATGCAGCTTGATTGTCATTGACTCTTATCAAGCAATGATGCTAGCAAAACATTGCACTATGGCACCCGTTGTGGCCTCTTAATCCAGGTAAATAATGCAGCTTTATTGGATAAACTCCCTCAAGGCATGAATAGAAAGAAGGTAAGAAATAGAACAATAACAAGAGAAAAACAACGAGGCTTTTTAATCAGCTTCCATTGCTTCATAGTGGTATTTACACAATGGCTGTATTCACAGCTAAAATGTCATTTGAAAAGAGTGAACTCAAGCTGCATATGCCCATAGTGAATGTGATTTTAAACCACAGTGCACAGACTGTGCATCACAGGCAGAGTTGGCAGTCTCTCTGCGTCGAGACTTTTTGGAACAAAGAGGGGAGGATGTTAATAAAAGCTGGATGAACAGATGGATTAGTTGGGAGCTGAAGACAGGCCAATCGGCGGGCCCATCCGATTTCATATTGATTCATATCGCCAACACAAGGCAAGGATGGAGTAAGCAAATGTAAATATTCAATATTTACCATGTGCTGCTGTTATTAGAGGCTGGGGCTCGTGCAGGGGGCTGACAGTTATCATGCACCCTCAACACTCTCATTCAATATTGTTCTTCCTGCCATGTATGCATTGTACTTGGTGGTTATGCGGGCATTTGTAGATCAGGATCCCGCTTGTTTTGAATGTATTCACTTTGGAAAACAGAGCGTTGAAGAGAATAAGAGCTTTGCCCAGGAATAAGACTTCTTGTTTTCCAGCTCCTAAAAAAATAAATAAAAAATACACACTCTAATAAATACAACAAATATGTGTGAATATACTGGAATTATTTACACTCTTGATGAGGTGGAGTTGAATTATTAAAATGCAAAAGCATGACTGAGTCTTATCTCTTCACCAGTACGTAATGAGGTACACAGGGGTGTGACTCCAATTGAAGGTGTCGCCATTGTTAGACTCTGTGAAAATATCAACGGGTGAGGTTAACGCCAATTTTCCTGACATTAATGAAATGCACAGAGCCCCTAATGAGGTAAACCATTGCTCCTTGATAGTACTTATTAGCCAAGTGGAGGGCACAAACTCCTGCACTACATTTTCAAATGGGCAAAAAAAAAAAAAAACCCACTAATAATAAAAACATGGAGCAGATGTCAAGGGGCCTTACATAATTTGAAGCAAGGAAAACCCAACTAACCGTCTTGTTGGCTCAAATGAGCAGAAAGAAAAAAAAAAAAACTGAGAAAAACGCGTAACACCAGGAAGAAACAGGGTGGTAGGAAATGTGTTAATGTGTATCTGTGTGCGAGTGTGGTGTCAATGTGCGACTTGTTCCTGTGTCTGTGTTTGTGCACATGTGCACCAGTGTGACCTTTTCCAAATCACTGACAACAGAAATAGACAGCTATACAAATCAATAAGGCAAATTAATGTTGAAGAGTGGAAACGACAGGCGGGTAAAATTAGCTTGTGTCAGGCTGACATGTCTTTCAAATAATAACTAACCTCTGCATCCTTAAAGTGACAACAGCACTGGGAGTATAATGCAGGAAAGCCAACGGATAGAGGAAGCTGTGTAGCTGACATTAAACTTTAGGGGGAATTGAAAATGTATTCAATTTGAAGGAAAATGTGCTGTTAAAAATAAAAGGTCTTCTTATGAAATTCTTGTCTTGTATATGTCTCTGTTTTGTGTCTCTTGTATGTATGTGACACTAAGCATCCCCAGAGACTAGCTTTGTCCAGCTTTAGGATTCCAGCGGCAGGTCCGAGGGTTGCAAATCAAACACACTTGTGGAACAGAGGAAATCTTCTTTTCTGAGGAGCATGTATTATGGATGGACTTAAGAGATTAGACAGGGAGGCTGCTGCTGCTTCTTCTTCTTTTTTTTTTTCTTACCTGCAGTGGACGCTGCTTGTCCTGGCTCTTTGGAGATTTCAGGCCACTGCCTGGCTGCTGCAAGAGTAATTGCCTCGCTGCTTGTAGGGCCTGTGAAGAAAGGAAGACAAGACAAAAGGTGGTGTGAATAAAACGCAGGAAGAAAGAAGAGGAAGGAGGAGGAAAACCTAACGATCTCCACAAGCTGACTGCAGAAATTATTCACATTTCCAAGGCATAAAACAACAGACATCTTGAACTAAAATCGCCTTGTAGAACATGAGCTGTTGTTTCGTCTATTTACACAAGGTTTGAGATGTATTAAAGTAACATTTCTCCAAGCTGTGATCAAGAACAAATACAGTTTTCTTTCTGAAAATGAAGATGAGGCGGGTGGCTGGGCTGAAGAAAAGAAAAAAAAAGAAAAGGCAGCGCATCGGTAGAATTGACCTGTCTAGTGCGTGCTCAAGTGAAATACCCACTTCTCTCGGCAAATTACCAGTACATTTGCATATTCATAATATCAATTTGAAGTAGACGCAGCGCCATGTGAAGTGTCCCTGGGAGCTGTAATTAAAGTTGACAAAATCAACATCAGATTACATTTAGAGTGAATTAACTAGCAGCACAGGTTTTACACTGTGTGCATTTAAGGGTGCTCAAGAGTAGAGGATGGGTGGTAGATGGCTAGAAATATGGAGGGATGCAAGGAGAAAGAGAGACCTTTTCCTGCTTCATGAGATGAGATCATAGCTGTTTACACACAGCATGAAAAATTAGGAAAAATCCATTTTGTAAGTTGTAAAATTTGTCCTTTGATTTGCTTGCTAGACATGGATGATAAGAATCAGGCGGGCTGGGATGTGGTGTCATTTTGTTCTCTAGGGTTTGATGGGATTACAGATCCCCTCTCGCCTTTTTTTTTTTTACTTGAATTTGTGTGACTTGCGAGCTGCAGCTTCACACAGGTACGGCGGCAGCTGGGCCGGCAGCTTCACTGTGATTCTTCAAGAGCAACTGGATGAAAGAGTCTGGCAGAAAAGAACATTGTGCACAGCTGCTGCTACTACTACTGCTGCTGCTGCTGCTGCTGATGCTCCACACAGGCGTGTAGCTTGTATTCTTCAGGCCCACAAGCATCAAGTGGGAGTGGGAAAAAAAAAACATGTATGCACAGACACACAGCACAACACAACAACTTCACAGGTGTTTCTTTATTTGATGAAAAAAGAAGAGGACGAGAAAGGAGGAGAAGTGGGGAAAAAAAAAAAAAAACTGATGGAGAGTGACACTTTCTCAGCTCATTTTTATTTTCTGGCGCTTGCCAGTATCCATGACAACAGCTGCCTTGACAGGGCGTGCATATGGCGCAGCTCTGCCAGCTGGTGGGAACATTGTTTGAACTAGTACATTGAGATCCTGAACAAACAAGAGGAGAAGACGAGAGAGAGAGGGGGGGACAGAGTGAGAGAGAGGAAAAAAAATGAGAGAGGAAGAAAAAAAAAAGTTGCCATGTCTTAACCCCTATGGGAGTGCAGCCACCCCCTGATCAATTATGAAAAGACAGAGGCTGTGTGTGTGTGTGTGTGTGTGTGTGTGTGTGTGTGTGTGTGTGTGTGTGTGTGTGTGTGTGTGTGTGTGTGTGTGTGTGTGTGTGTGTGTGTGTGGGGGGGGGGTCATGGAGGGTTGGGGGCCTGTCTGTCTGGGTGCTCAGGAGGAGCCAGGCTCTCTCGACTCAAGTAAACAAACACATTACACTGGCACTGGGTCTTAACTGCATTGATCCGTCTCCTTGGTAAGAGCAGCCCAGTCGCCACTGGTTTATATGTGTGTGTAATGTGAGCCATTTAAAACACACCCACTCACACACATGCACAGATACGAAGTTATTTGTGGCACACCTGCAGGAATAAATGGAATAAATGGCACACATAATACATGCAGCTTTGTTCCTTGTGGATTTTTGCTTAATGGACTGGAAATCAAACATTTGCTGCATTGTTCTGAAGGCAAAAGACAAAACAAATTTCTTGAATGCAGCCAATCACGTTGCTAATTAAAAACACAGGGCCTAATTAATCTCCCCATGATTGGTGAATCAAAGTAATTATAAGGTTTATTGAGTCCTGCACACAGTAGTTAGAGGGGAAGGCTGCCTGATGAGTGCAACCAGACGTTGCTGTCAGAAGGAAATGTTTATCTGTGTGTGAATCAATAATGACTCACGGCGTTATATCCAAAGTCAAGAGAGCCACTCGATATATTACACACGGTCAAGAGCACAAAGGAAGAGATGTTTTTAACTGTGCTGCCAATATCCATGGCAGGTAAATACCGAGGGAGGGTGCAAGCATGAGAGGTGACACACAGGGTGAAGCAGAGAGATCAACTACACCCAGCTTATTAAAGAAGAAGTCTGCTCAGACTGCATAAAGAGTTCTTCTCCAAACATAACACAGAGCCCATCAAAGACGGCAAAACTTTTTCCGCAGTGGTTTGTGATGCCCGAAACTGTCTGTCACCTCCAAAGAGGAAGCGAGGTTGGCCATTTTGCTGAAAGTCTGGGACTGTGTGGAAGGTAAGGAAGGGAAGGAGGGAGGGAGAGAAAAGTCCCGTCCGCTTGCTTTTAACAACTCTGAGTATTCAGCCATTACTGTAAAAAGCACCAATTTGTGCCACCCACTTTTCCCACTCCACAGAGATGGCAAGCTGGAGCCCATCTCGTCGTACAAAAAAGCACCAAATGCCAAGGAAAGTCATCAAAAGTTTGCTGAAGAGCTGCCGGAGCGGACAAAAACACAGACGAGTGCAGGCACACTGTCTATTTAACCTGGGTTGCTATGCAAGAAAAAATGACATCTGCGGTCTATTAATGCACACATTGTATAAACAGCACAATGTGACACATTCTTTAGAATGGGTGCGCAAGTCAGACAGAGAAAGAGAGAGAGGAGGTGGGGGGGGGAGGAGGGAAAGAGCCAGACCCTGCTATATAAATAACAAGGCACTCAGAGGCATATTTGATGTTGATATCCATCACAGAGGTTGGAAAAAAGGGAAAAAACAAGAGGAGGGAAAATAACACACAGAGCGACCGAGACCACGACACGGGGATCCTTATGAAAATAAGATTCAGCCCAAATGGATCTGCTGTAATTGGTTTCAGATAGTGAGGTCAGGAGAAAGGCGATACAGGCGACTATTATGCGAAACGGACTGAGAAACAAGAATGTTTACACAGGCATTCCTCTGCTACATTAATAGGCATTCAGAGATCACCGGAGAGGGAGAAAAAAGGAGAGAGTGAGAAGGGACTGACAGAGAGGGGAGAGAGAGAGAGAGAGAGAGAGAGAGAAAAAAACACATATCAAGCATCCATTCATCCCTTTCTCACTCTATTCTAACTCTCAGAGCCCCAGTGTTTGGACTGAACCGGGTAATAAGCAACACCCATCACAATGCACCTTTGTAAAGAGCATGCAAAGTTCTTAAGCAAGCATGAAACACATTAGCGGGCACTGCAACACTAGGCCGAACCATAACAAATCTCCAGATTGCTTATTGTGTGTGGTGCAGAAAGTGCGTGCAAAAAAAAATAAGCCTTCCACTAAGGCTGTGCACTCTTTCAAATCCACCTGGAGACTGCTCGATATGCAGCCGTGACATTGGAATTGGATATATCTGAGGGGCTGTGACATTGTGTTTGGACAGCGCAGATCACTTCCTGGCGTGGGTCACGCTGGGAGTTGTTGTTATTAGGGGATATAGGAGATATTGGAATGATGACACAGGTATGAAATAAGCAGGCCGCGACACATTCGCCGCCCCGTGCCCCTATAGAATGTTTGACACATGAAAACATTGATACACTTGAGTTTTAAGACATCACCCTTCATGATGCAGTTTCAATTGTAGGTTACATGCCAACATCTGTGATAGTAGTTCAACTTGTGTTGTGTTTACACCTTAAACTGTTTAAGAGAAATGAGTTTAGTCACCGTGAAATAACCCACTGGTTTGTTTACTTTTTTTTTTTTGAAGCCTTGAATTTCAGGCTTTCACCATCTTGATTTTTGTTGGAACCAGAACTGGCCTTATTTGGACAACATGGTTTGTACACGTTGGACACTGTCATAATGGCTGCTTGTAAAACCTGAGAAGTTCCTCTTTGGCCGTGTTTCAAGAGTTACATCATGGGTTTTTGGAACCAGAAATGCCATACTTGGACAAAATGATTTGTCTCTATCCGGATCTAACCATTTTCCTTTTTGAAGTGAGACAATAATGGTTAACATAATGTTGCACTGAAGAAGACTTAAATCTTCCCAATGGGAAAATATGACCTAATAGAGTTGCCCCCTGCTGGGCAATAGAATTAAAAAGGAAGACAGGTCCCATCCTCATGAATTTAGGTTTAAAGCCCCACCTAATGTGCTACAATACAGTCATACAGGGCTCAGAGTAAAGCCTTACATAAAACCTCAGAAAATGTTGGATCGTAACTCATGTATCGTGATATGTATTGTAGTGCCAGATTCATGCTTATATAAAGCCCAAGTAAACATGTTGTACATCAGTTGCTGATCAATAAGAAATGTGTTGCCTCATGACAACAGTCCCACTGTGGTGTGCAGAACAGATGTTTTGTGTGCCTGCATGTGTGTGTGTTTGTTGCGGGGAGCAGAGGGCTGCTGTTCAACACCAGGCTGTCGGCCAGAACAACTCCAGTCATGCTGACAGCTCTGACAACTCCCACCCCCCCCACACACACACACACACACACACACACAAGCTCTTGAAAAGCACACACACAGACACACATACCACAGCACCACACCACCAGGCTTATCTATGTTCCCTTCCAGGAAACGCAGACACAGAAGGAGGCAAAAAAAAAAAAAAAAAAAAAAAAAAAAAGGAAAAAGTGTGACACTTTATCAAGCTGCAGAGAGACTCGCAGGCCTCGGAAAACAAGGCACAAACAGTTTAAGCTGAACAAACAAACATGGCTGATTGGACTGAGGCTGTGGCCCCGCTGGCAACGGAGATACGCACTGACACTCCACACCAAAATATTTACACCCTGTCTTCTTATATAAGTGGATTCAGGG